CACTGAATACCATGCTGAGTGCCATGTCTAATATCGACCCTAATATCACCCATAATATTGGCCCTAATATCAACCCGAATATCACCCTCCCGAATGCTACACCGAATGCCACATCTAATGAAATCTCTATCTCACAGCTGGTCACATCCTATTCAATTTATATGGATAACTACTTTACATCAGTTCCTTTATTCAAAGAACTCCGTCAACAGGAGTATGGAGCATGTGGAACCACTCATTCAAACCAGGTTCCAGCAGCACTAGATGAGCTTTGAGAGCATTCAAATTCCATACTCTGAAATACTCTGCATGTCATTGAAAAAGAGAATGTTCTCTGTCTTGCCTGGCAAGATAATAATATGGTATTGGCACTAACTACGATTCATTCATTGGACGCAGTTATTGAATGTACTTGTAAAGGCTCAGGGGAACTCTCAATCAATGTCAATATTGTTAGAAAAGTCTTTAAAGGTCAATCACAAAAGAAGCTGAAAATCCCATTGATTATAGGTGATTATAATCATCATATGAATGGGGTACATCTAGCAAATCAATACTGAGCAGCATATACTAGTCATAGAGTCATCTATCACACCTGGCTTTCTATTCTCTACTGACTTATTGATTCCGCAGCTATTAATGCATACCGGCTTCAATATCTATATATGAAGCAGCAGAGGATTTCAGTGAAGGATCTTTCTTCTCATATAAGCTTTCATGAGAAGCTTTACCAGGAACTCTTTGAATTCACATCTAGGATTCATGATAATCTATCAAGGGAATGATCAAATTCTAATCTAAATCATCAACGGATTTCTCTTCCAAAGCAGCGTGTTTGTGCCTGGTGTCAATATAAATGAAAGATTGGCCAGCAGAAATATAAAAAGATAGGGAGATCAAGTTCTGACTGTTCAGAGTGTCAAAATACCCTTTTATGTTTGAAAACTCAATGTTGGGCGGAATTTCATAGTATATCCTAATATCTATTTACGCGGATCCTTAATTAGGGTTTATATATAACCCTAATACCAATGAATACTCAAAAATACACTGATTATTCAATGAGATCTCGTATAATATACACTAATGAAACCACGCTAATTTTGCACAAACCTACGGACGAGGCGATAGTTGAAGCCTCATTCTTGGTGATGCTTTCATTTATGTTGTTGTCTGTGCTCTTGCTCACACTTCTGGCCATTCTGGGACTGCATGTGCTGTTGAATCTGATGTGGGTTTCACCCTGCTGGCTCTCCATCTCTGACTCCTGGTTGGACGGGTTTGACGTCCAACGGCTTAGGGTCCAGCGTGTTCGACTAATGTTTGTTTTTCTCTGTTTAAAATCACTCCAGAATGAAGCCTTTCAGTTTTTTTATATATTTTGCTATTTTTATTTACTTTGTTGATCTAGTAACCCTAACCGCTCCGTTGCCTGGGTGAAAATATAGATATTTAGTTGGGTCTGGTTGGGTTGATGGCTTACCCCATCAAACATCGCACCTCAACTCATTGACTTTGACACCACAATGTAACCCCTTCCCGGCGGAATTATCGCTTTTGATTTGGATATGTTGTATTTCATATCCACTACGGCCTACATGCAAAGTTTGAAGTCAATTGACTCCGTGGTTGATTGGACGTTCAACGTCTGAAACCAAATGGAATGTACGTCCAATCTGCCCTGCTCTGATTGGTCGGTTTTCTAACCCTGAATGGAATGGACGTCCATTCCACCCCCACCTGTTGGATAGGGTCCAGCGTGTTCAACTCCCAACGGGTTAATGCGCTCCTGGGACGGTTTGACGTCCAACGGGTTTGACGTCCAACGGGTTTGACGTCCAACGGGTTTGACGTCCAACGGGTTTGACGTTCAACGGGTTTGTGTCCAGCGTGTTCGACTTCCTCATCCAACGGGTTCGACGTCCAACGGGTTTGGGTCCAGCGTGTTCAACTCCCAACGGGTTAATGCGCTCCTGGACGGGTTTGACGTCCAACGGGTTGGGTCCAGCGTGTTCGACTTCCTCATCCAACGGGTTCGACGTCCAACGGGTTGGACGGGTTCGACATCCAACGGGTTGGGTCCAGCGTGTTCAACTCCCAACGGGTTAATGGGCTCCTTGGACGGGTTTGACGTCCAACGGGTTTGACGTCCAACGGGTTTGACTTCCAACGGGTTGGGTCCAGCGTGTTCGACTTCCTCATCCAACGGTTTCGACGTCCAACGGGTTGGGTCCAGCGTGTTCGACTTCCTCATCCAACGGGTTCGACGTCCAACGGGTTTGGGTCCAGCGTGTTCAACTCCCAACGGGTTAATGCGCTCCTGGACGGGTTTGACGTCCAACGGGTTTGACGTCCAACGGGTTGGGTCCAGCGTGTTCGACTTCCTCATCCAACGGGTTCGACGTCCAACGGGTTGGACGGGTTCGACATCCAACGGGTTGGGTCCAGCGTGTTCAACTCCCAACGGGTTAATGCGCTCCTTGGACGGGTTTGACGTCCAACGGGTTGGGTCCAGCGTGTTCAACTCCCAACGGGTTAATGGGCTCCTGGGACGGGTTTGACGTCCAACGGGTTTGGGTCGAGCGTGTTCGACTTCCAACGGGTTAATGCGCTCATCCAACGGCTTCGACGTCCAACGGGTTTGACGTCCAACGGGTTTGACGTCCAACGGCTTGGGTCCAGCGTGTTCGACTAATGTTTGTTTTTCTGTGTTTAAAATCACTCCAGAATGAACCCTTTCAGTTTTTTTATATATTTTGCTATTTTTATTTACTTTGTTGATCTCATTCTGTACCTGCATATGGTTTTGTGATGACATCCAACCCTGACTGAGACATGGAGTCCAGCTGTGTTGGGTCTGTCAGTGCTTTCACATGGTCCGTATAGTTCCTCCAACATACTGACATTCAGATTGCCGCCAACACATGTAGCCATTGTGGATGAGCGGCTCATGTATTGGTTTGTTCAATTCTGTGGATAATATCAACTGCCTGAGATCATGCGCGATATGATCCCACCGTTGAATTATCTGCTTGATACTCTGTGTGGCTGTATACTTTAACTGATGAGTTGAACCCTTCAAATGCCGTTCAATTTCTGTTGGCCATACTGCATACTTGCATTGACGGCATATGATGATGGGGTATGATTCACACTGAATGAAAAATTGATGTTCCATGTTAATGAAGTCAGTGTATTCTTGAGTTGATATATATATATATATATATATATATTCTTTGAAAATGAAGTATAAACACACTTCACTCGGCAATGATAATTTGCTCTAAATTTAAGTTTTGTAATGCTTCTAAGCAATTGCAGATCAATACTTAAATGTATGATGTTAATTTCTGTCTGATTGTTATTTCGCTGATCTGTGACCGTTTTGATGATGGTAGTTGCCCTGGGGCGAAATATATATATTTAATATTGATAACTCTGCAAAACAACTTATCTACCTTAATGTTGTAATAATATGATTTTCTGATGAAATTATGTCTTGAAATTAAATATCATACTCTGTATATATAATATAACTGGCTCCTGAAGTTTAAGGTCTGGTTGTGATGAGTTGTCTATGAAAATATAATATTATACATTTTATAACGGAGGTGAAAGGCTGATTTGTATTGAAATTTATAAAGATGACAGCTAGCTGCTGAAGTTGGAAATCTGGTCATAATGAATTGCATGAGAAAAATATATATCTTTAATCATTTATAGCTCTATGTTGTCATCTATTTCTACTGTTACATATGATGGCTGCTGTTTTTGAGCCTTTCTGCTAACGCTCTTTTCCATGTTCCGTGCCCGCTTTCGCACCCCTGGGCCTGGGTTAAACCCCAGGAATTCATGATTGCATGAGAAAAATATATATCTTTTATCATTTATAGCTCTATGTTATCATCTATTTCTACTGTTACATATGATGGCTGCTGTTTTTGAGCCTTTCTGCTAACGCTCTTTTCCATGTTCCGTGCCCGCTTTCGCACCCCTGGGCCTGGGTTAAACCCCAGGAATTCATGCCACTCCCGGCTGACAGCCTGGTACCGCACACGCCGTGCCTCAATGTGGCCTGGTGCCTCCTGCAGCCCCCGCGCATATACTGTACCTGCAGCCCAGGATCCATGGCCTGCCTGCTGGTCTACTGCCGCATCATCTGCCTCATATTCCCGCTTGAACCCTCCACAGGACAGGTGCATACGCGAGATGGCAATGGCGGCATGCCGCCAAGGGATTACATTGAGCTTGGTCTGGAGGTGTGTCTTTGCCTCGCGCTGAAGCACCACCCGCAGCCGGCTGCTGTCCCACGGTCCATGCCCCCGCGGCCAGAGAAATGGTGACCGCAGCCCCCCTTGGCTATCACTGTCTCCATATGCAAGCCGCTGGACCGCCCGCGCGAACCACCAGCTCACTGACCTCTGCTGGCAGATAGCGGTGGATGATCTTTGTGGAGTTGGTCATGCTGTAGCCTTTGTGATAGGTTGTCACCATGCTCACCAGCCCATGTTCAATAAAAATGCTGCGGTGGCGGCCGCAGACCGTGTTACTGTGCCGTATGCTGAGCAGCTCTGTGGCCCGCGCAGGCTGGCCCCCAGTGAGATGAACCACAAGAAGCAGCTGCTCAAGAAATCCATCCACCTGCTGCAGATAGTCATCTACCACTGCTGTGTCCCAGACCACCTGATGATCAGATGGCCGTACAGCTACCCACTCTGCCCGGAGCCTGTCTGTTGTGAGGACTCGGTCCAGCAGCCATCGCTCCCCTGTGGTTGGAAGGGCCTTGCAGTTCTGCGGTGCTTGAAGGAAGTTCCAGCCGCGCTGATTGTTTGTAGGGCTGTCCGCCAGCTGGGCCAGTGCCAGGCGTGGCACTACCACCTCCCGTGCTTCCTCTTCATGAACAAGAAAGAGCTGCTCAAGCTTGTGCTGTGTCAGCTCCACCTGCGTGCGCACGAAGCGCCGGAGCCCTGCTATGCTTAGATGCAGCTCTCTATAGCTTAGAGTCTGCTGGTCATCGCTCCAGTAGACATACCCTAGACTCGTGGTGGTGTTCTGCACTCGCTTGCCGAATGTCCGCAGCCGGGTCACCCAGCCAAAGGGGGCAGCCACTCCTGGGAGGAGGAAGCGTTCACGCATGGCATCCAGCGCATCTGCAGGGTGCTCCACCTGCCCATCCTCGGCCATCTGAACTGCCTGCTGTACCACCAGCATCTGTGCCATGAGATATGAGAAGGGAAGAGGGAGCTCGACTGTGACCGGGCCCCACTGCGGGCACGCGGAGGCGGGAGCGGGAGCACGCACGGGCGGCCAATCAGGGACGGAGAAAATCGGACGGGGGCGCGTCGGACCACGCACTATGTAGAACTTGGATAGTTTAACCCTAACCCTATAACCTTCAACGGGCATGTCCAGCGGGTTTGACTTTTAAATGGTTTCATCCCACTGGTTTGGGTCCAACGGGTTGACGGGTTCGTTCAACCGGTTCGACCCCTGAACACCCCTCACTCTAACCCTGACTCTGACCACCTCATCCTCCCCCCCAGCCTCTACCCTCACTCTTTGTAACCCTAACCCTGGCCCATTATTGTATGGGATAATGCTCTTTAAAACTCCAATATTTTTGAACCCCCCCCTCTACCTTCTGATATAATCGTCCAGCGTGCTCGACTTCCAACAGGTTGATGGGTTCATCCAACGGGTTCGGGTCCAATGGGTGAATGGGCTCCTTGGACGGGTTTGACGTCCAACGGCTTTGGGTCCAGCGTGTTCGACTAATGTTTGTTTTTCTGTGCTTAAAATCACTCCAGAATGAAGCCTTTCATTTTTTTTATATATTTTGCTATTTTAATTTACTTTGTTGATCTTGCACCGCTTTGCACCGCTCCGTTGCCTGGGGTGAAAATATAGATATTTAGTTGGGTCTGGTTGGGTTGATGGCTTACCCCATCAAACATCGCACCTCAACTCATTGACTTTGACACCACAATGTAACCCCTTCCCGGCGGAATTATCGCTTTTGATTTGGATATGTTGTATTTCATATCCACTACGGCCTACATGCAAAGTTTGAAGTCAATTGACTCCGTGGTTGATTAGACGTTCAACGTCTGAAACCAAATGGAATGTACGTCCAATCTGCCCTGCTCTGATTGGTCGGTTTTCTAACCCTGAATGGAATGGACGTCCATTCCACCCCCACCTGTTGGATAGACATGGAGTCCAGCTGTGTTGGGTCTGTCAGTGCTTGTACATGCTCCGTATAGTTCCTCCAACATACTGACATTCAGATTGCCGCCAACACATGTAGCCATTGTGGATGAGCGGCTCATGTATTGGTTTGTTCAATTCTGTGGATAATATCAACCGGCCGAGATCATGCGCGATATGATCCCACCGTTGAATTATCTGCTTGATACTCTGTGTGGCTGTATACTCTAACTGATGAGTTGAACCCTTCAAATGCCGTTCGATTTCTGTTGGCCATACTGCATACTTGCATTGACGGCATATGATGATGGGGTATGATTCACACTGAATGAATAATTGATGTTCCATGTTAATGAAGTCAGTGTATTCTTGAGTTGATATATATATATATATATATATATTTTTTGACAATGAAGTATAAACACACTTCACTCGACAATGATAATTTGCTCTAAATTTAAGTTTTGTAATGCTTCTAAGCAATTGCAGATCAATACTTAAATGTATGATGTTAATTTCTGTCTGATTGTTATTTCGCTGATCTGTGACGGTTTTGATGATGGTAGTTGCCCTGGGGCGAAATATATATATTTAATATTGATAACTCTGCAAAACAACTTATCTACCTTAATGTTGTAATAATATGATTTTCTGATGAAATTATGTCTTGAAATTAAATATCATACTCTGTATATATAATATAACTGGCTACTGAAGTTTAAGGTCTGGTTGTGATGAGTTGTCTATGAAAATATAATATTATACATTTTATAACGGAGGTGAAAGGCTGATTTGTATTGAAATTTATAAAGATGACAGCTAGCTGCTGAAGTTGGAAATCTGGTCATAATGAATTGCATGAGAAAAATATATATCTTTAATCATTTATAGCTCTATGTTATCATCTATTTCTACTGTTACATATGATGGCTGCTGTTTTTGAGCTTTTCTGCTAACGCTCTTTTCCATGTTCCGTGCCCGCTTTCGCACCCCTGGGTTAAACCCCAGGAATTCATGCCACTCCCGGCTGACAGCCTGGTACCACACACGCCGTTCCTCAATGTGGCCTGGTGCCTCCTGCAGCCCCCGCGCATATACTGTACCTGCAGCCCAGGATCCATGGCCTGCCTGCTGGTCTACTGCCGCATCATCTGCCTCATATTCCCGCTTGAACCCTCCACAGGACAGGTGCATACGCGAGATGGCAATGGCGGCATGCCGCCAAGGGATTACATTGAGCTTGGTCTGGAGGTGTGTCTTTGCCTCGCGCTGAAGCACCACCCGCAGCCGGCTGCTGTCCCACGGTCCATGCCCCCGCGGCCAGAGAAATGGTGACCGCAGCCCCCCTGGCTATCATTGTCTCCATATGCAAGCCGCTGGACCGCCCGCGCGAAAGGTAGAATCAGCCAGAGGTAGTACACCACCAGCTCGGACTGGAGCACTCTCCGGAGGCGGTGGGCAACAGGGTTTCTGAGTGCGGTCAAACACCGGCTCCAGCTGGTCCTGCATCATCGCAGCCACTGCGGCCTCCCGGAGACCTCCCGTCGCGGCCGAGGGATGGTTGCGGTGCCGCTTAGCCAGGTGGGTGAGGACATTTGCAACAGCAACAGCAAATCCACATGGGCGGCAGATCCACAGGCGGTGGGACCTATTATAAATAAAGAGATCCATTCTCACAGTAAATCTCTCATCAAAGTTGGCTGTCTGTCAATATTTGAAAGAGTATATTTAAAAGAGGTCAGTCAGAGATCAGAAGAAAGAGCAAAACATAAGAGAGAGAAAGAAAAAAAAAAAGAGAGAGAGAGAGAGAGTGAGCAGCCAGCAATCATGCACGAATGCGTCAATATATAAATGCATTAATGTGGAGACGCGTGGATGTGCGAGCAGGCCAGGCCAATAAGGCCAATAAAAACTGACAAGATAAGAAGAGATGAGATATGAGAAGGGAAGAGGGAGCTCGACTGTGACCGGGCCCCACTGCGGGCACGCGGAGGCGGGAGCGGGAGCACGCACGGGCGGCCAATCAGGGACGGAGAAAATCGGACGGGGGCGCGTCGGACCACGCACTATGTATAACTTGGATAGTTTAACCCTAACCCTATAACCTTCAACGGGCATGTCCAGCGGATTTGACTTTTAAATGGTGTCATCCCACTGGTTTGGGTCCAACGGGTTAACGGGTTCGTTCAACGGGTTCGACCTCTGAACACCCCTCACTCTAACCCTGACTCTGACCACCTCATCCTCCCCCCCAGCCTCTACCCTCACTCTTTGTAACCCTAACCCTGGCCCATTATTGTATGGGATAATGCTCTTTAAAACTCCAATATTTTTGAACCCCCCCCTCTACCTTCTGATATAATCGTCCAGCGTGCTCGACTTCCAACAGGTTGATGGGTTCATCCAACGGGTTCGGGTCCAATGGGTGAATGGGCTCCTTGGACGGGTTTGACGTCCAACGGCTTTGGGTCCAGCGTGTTCGACTAATGTTTGTTTTTCTGTGCTTAAAATCACTCCAGAATGAAGCCTTTCATTTTTTTTATATATTTTGCTATTTTAATTTACTTTGTTGATCTTGCACCGCTTTGCGCCGCTCCGTTGCCTGGGGTGAAAATATAGATATTTAGTTGGGTCTGGTTGGGTTGATGGCTTACCCCATCAAACATCGCACCTCAACTCATTGACTTTGACACCACAATGTAACCCCTTCCCGGCGGAATTATCGCTTTTGATTTGGATATGTTGTATTTCATATCCACTACGGCCTACATGCAAAGTTTGAAGTCAATTGACTCCGTGGTTGATTAGACGTTCAACGTCTGAAACCAAATGGAATGTACGTCCAATCTGCCCTGCTCTGATTGGTCGGTTTTCTAACCCTGAATGGAATGGACGTCCATTCCACCCCCACCTGTTGGATAGGTATGATTCACAGTGGATAAATAATTGATGTTCCATGTCGATGTTGGGTCTGTCTTGTGCATTGAATATATATATATTTCCTTCATTCAGTGTCTTTGTGTGAAACTTGACAGATCTGATCTGGTGTGAATGTTTGTTTTTTCTGTGGTTAAAATCACTCCAGGATGAAGCCTTTCAGTTTTCTTATATGTTTTGCTATTTTTATTTACTTTGTTGATCTTGCACCGCTTTGCACCGCTCTGTTGCCTGGGTGAAAATATATATATATAGTTGGGTCTGGTTGGGTTGGTGGCTTACCCCATCAAACATCGCACCTCAACTTATTGACTTTGACACCACAATGTAACCCCTTCCCGGCGGAATTATCGCTTTTGATTTGGATATGTTGTATTTCATATCCACTACGGCCTACATGCAAAGTTTGAAGTAATGGGGTGGCTGGCTGCCGCAGAAGGGAAGGGAAGAGGGAGCTCGACTGTGACCGGGCCCCACTGCGGGCACGCGGAGGCGGGAGCGGGAGCACGCACGGGCGGCCAATCAGGGACGGAGAAAATCGGACGGGGGCTCGTCGGACCACGCACTATGTAGAACTTGGATAGTTTAACCCTAACCCTATAACCTTCAACGGGCATGTCCAGCGGGTTTGACTTTTAAATGGTGTCATCCCACTGGTTTGGGTCCAACGGGTTAACGGGTTCGTTCAGCGGGTTCGACTTCCAATGGTTTCAACGTCTCAACTTCCAATGGGTTGCCAATTGTAAAGAGCCTCACTTTGCAAATTCAAAAGAATGTATATTTGCTCCCAAATCAGGAAAGCCATCAGTACAGACAAATAACTCAGTCTCTACTAATGTAAATGATAGCAATAAATAAAAAAGAAGGAATTCTCAACTCTCTGAATCTGCTATCTCTGAATCTTCTGCGAGGCAAAAAATTAGATCACAGAAGTCACCAAGAACCTCTGTTCAAACAAAATAAGGGATACACATATGCAGAATATGATAGCAGTTGAAGTTGTGAATAATAGATTCAGTTTGTTATCTGACTCTGAATAAAGAGAAATACTTGTTAATATTTGTGTAATGTTAGAAAAACAACAAAAAAATGTTAAAAGCTCGACAAAAATCACATTTCTCGTCCGTAGGTTGGTGCAAAATTAGCGTGGTTTCAATTAGTGTATGGAATTCTGCACCGGCGCCCTGGGCATAACCAATAGAATCCTATATGATTTTATATGAATAATAATTGGTCATTTAGATCCACTGATTGAAGATCTCATGTAGATCTTAAGAATGTGTATGGAATTCAACATGTTTGAAGCCCTGCCTGTCTGCCTGCCTGCCCGATTCTCATATCTTCTCCCACCTATCCCCCTACCCGCGAATATGGAACCCCCCAAACCTGCGAATGTGGAATCCACTGAGAAACCTACTAAATCCAATGGTGAGTTCCTTATATTAATCAATTCAAATAACCTAGCTAACTAATTCATTCTCTAGTTTATACAAAAACATCAAGAAAATGAAAACAGTCTGTTGAGGAGGTTATTGCAGAACTTCCACCTCTAGAATCAGTGAAATTCCACTCAATATTGCCTATCTCATGAGATTCAATTTTCAATATTTCTGCAAATATCAATATCAGCAGTTCATACATTCTGTTTATCTTATTCTTCTCTGAGAAATGCTTTTAAAATATCAGTAATTCTACTAATCTCTATGCAAAATTAAAGAGAGATACTAGAGATACTGATGATGAAGCTTCAGAGCTTTCAGAAATGAAAAAGAATGAGAATGCTCAAGATATAGATATAGAGATTTCTGAAATATCTATATTCTCAAAGCTTTCTATTCAGCAATGTTCATGGAAAAATATCAATTCAGCAGAGATAAAGGTCTTTATAAGCATTCTTCTTTATATGAAAGTTCATAAATTCCATTGAATTGATCTATACTGGCAGAATGAGCTGAAACAAGACTCTATTCATTCCATTCAATTCTATATGACCCATATGCGTTTTGAACAGATTAAATGATATATCCATATATCTAACCTTCATGAGGCCCGCCGCCCGGAGGTCAAAAATAAGAATTGATGGTATAAGATAGAGTCATTAGCTACTAAGTTTCATATGGCATGTTGAAAATACTATACCCCTGACTTTAAGATTTCCATTGATGAGATTTTGGTTAAATATTTTGGATGGAGTCAACATACATACAAGATGTCTAATAAACCAATTCCTTGAGGATATAGATATTTGGCCTAGCAGAACATGACTATTTATAGTCTTTTCCTGGTCTAGCTGTCAACAAAGTATAATGTCTATGTTTCAATTCTCTATGTTAACAAAACTGAATCTATGGTGGTGAATCTGGTGAAGCGGCTTCCTATGATATCCACACTGAATACACCGAATACCATGCCGAATGCCACCCCTAATATCGACTCCAATATCACCCATAATATTGGCCCTAATATCAACCCGAATATCACCCTCCCGAATGCTACACCGAATGCCACATCTAATGAAATCTCTATCTCACAGCTGGTCACATCCTATTCAATTTATATGGATAACTACTTTACATCAGTTCCTTTATTCAAAGAACTACGTCAACAGGGGTATGGAGCATGTGGAACCACTCATTCAAACCAGGTTCCAGCAGCACTAGATGAGCTTTGAGAACATTCAAATTCCATACTCTGAAATACTCTGCATGTCATTGAAAAAGAGAATGTTCTCTGTCTTGCCTGGCAAGATAATAATATGGTATTGGCACTAACTACGATTCATTCATTGGACGCAGTTATTGAATGTACTTGTAAATGCTCAGGGGAACTCTCAATGTCAATATTGTTAGAAAGGTCTTTAAAGGTCAATCACAAAAGAAGCTGAAAATCCCATTGATTATAGGTGATTATAATCATCACATGAATGGGGTACATCTAGCAAATCAATACTGAGCAGCATATACTAGTCATAGAGTCATCTATCACACCTGGCTTTCTATTCTCTACTGACTTATTGATTCCGCAGCTATTAATGCATACCGGCTTCAATATCTATATATGAAGCAGCAGAGGATTTCAGTGAAGGATCTTTCTTCTCATATAAGCTTTCATGAGAAGCTTTACCAGGAACTCTTTGAATTCACATCTAGGATTCATGATAATCTATCAAGGGAATGATCAAATTCTAATCTAAATCATCAACGGATTTCTCTTCCAAAGCAGCGTGTTTGTGCCTGGTGTCAATATAAATGAAAGATTGGCCAGCAGAAATATAAAAAGATAGGGAGATCAAGTTCTGACTGTTCAGAGTGTCAAAATACCCTTTTATGTTTGAAAACTCAATGTTGGGCGGAATTTCATAGTATATCCTAATATCTATTTACGCGGATCCTTAATTAGGGTTTATATATAACCCTAATACCAATGAATACTCAAAAATACACTGATTATTCAATGAGATCTCGTATAATATACACTAATGAAACCACGCTAATTTTGCACAAACCTACGGACGAGGGGATAGTTGAAGCCTCATTCTTGGTGATGCTTTCATTTATGTTGTTGTCTGTGCTCTTGCTCACACTTCTGGCCATTCTGGGACTGCATGTGCTGTTGAATCTGATGTGGGTTTCACCCTGCTGGCTCTCCATCTCTGACTCCTGGTTGGACGGGTTTGACGTCCAACGGCTTAGGGTCCAGCGTGTTCGACTAATGTTTGTTTTTCTCTGTTTAAAATCACTCCAGAATGAAGCCTTTCAGTTTTTTTATATATTTTGCTATTTTTATTTACTTTGTTGATCTAGTAACCCTAACCGCTCCGTTGCCTGGGTGAAAATATAGATATTTAGTTGGGTCTGGTTGGGTTGATGGCTTACCCCATCAAACATCGCACCTCAACTCATTGACTTTGACACCACAATGTAACCCCTTCCCGGCGGAATTATCGCTTTTGATTTGGATATGTTGTATTTCATATCCACTACGGCCTACATGCAAAGTTTGAAGTCAATTGACTCCGTGGTTGATTTGACGTTCAACGTCTGAAACCAAATGGAATGTACGTCCAATCTGCCCTGCTCTGATTGGTCGGTTTTCTAACCCTGAATGGAATGGACGTCCATTCCACCCCCACCTGTTGGATAGCGTGTTCGACTTCCAACGGGTTAATGCGCTCCTGGGACGGGTTTGACGTCCAACGGGTTTGACGTCCAACGGGTTGGGTCCGGCGTGTTCAACTCCCAACGGGTTAATTCCCTCCTGGGACGGGTTTGACGTCCAACGGCTTCGACGTCCAACGGGTTTGGGTCCAACGGGTTTGACTTTCAATGGGTTAACGGGTTTGCGTCTAATTTAACCGCCTATCCTGACCTCACTGCCCACCCCTGTCTCTAGCCTCACTCTTTGTCAACCCTAACCCTGACTCTGACCACCTCATCCTCCCCCCCAGCCTCTACCCTCACTCTTTGTAACCCTAACCCTGACCCATTATCATATGGGATGATACTGTTTGAAACTGATCCTTTGAACCTGATCTACTTTCTCTTGATGTTATATCCCTTTACCCTCTGTCTCTTGCTTCACCTGCCTTTATATATATATACATCTTTCATCCTCCTGTGGTGCCTCTCACCCGTGATGTGCCCCTCACCCATGATATCACTTGACCTCTGTACCCTCTGACTCCATCTTCCCCCTCTCTGCCTCCTGATATATCCCTCGCAGCCAACAAAACATCTCCACCAGCTGGTTGTGCTCGATGCCCTGCCCCTCAACCTTCTGTCCCAAAAATTCAATCACCGCCTCCTGATCATCTGCATCCACATTGAACTCTCTCAGCCGCTGTGACACCCATACATCATCATTGCCACCGTCGGGATCCAAAATCCCCTGTACGGACACTGCCTCTGTGTCTTCCGGCTGTTGCATATGGACTGCGGCATCCCGCATCGGAAGCACCCGGAATACTGTGTGTATTTGATCTTGCTCCGCACTGTCATCATCCATCTCTTTGCCTCCTGGCTCTCCTCGTGGGGACACTGGTACAGCTCATGGTCAAACTCCCTCCCGCTTGCAATTTGCACATATCAAACACTGATCCTTCCACCTCTGCGCCTCTTCCACTAAAACCTCCTCATCCATCAATGCCCTCTGCCCTCGCTGCTGATGTGTGATGATGAACCAGCCTTGATGGACATTCTGTTTGTGGAATGTCTGTCTGATTGTTGATGGGATGCCTCTGATGTCTTCACTGATTACCCTTCATTCTGATTGCTGTGAACGTGTAATCCGCCTCCTCCATGGGGCTCACCACGGCCCACTCTCCCACCATCTGGCTTGCTTGGTTCCTGGCCAGCATGTCGGATGCATTGGCGTCCAGTCGCAGCGCCTTGTGCACCACCATGAACCGTGCCACCTTGATGATCCGTGACAATATTGGTGGGTAGCTCTCCGCGTCGCGCCATCCATACTCCCCCCGTCCCAGCACCGCCAACGTGTCTATCAGCGCGCACTCATAATCCTCTATCTGAACCCACTGGTTCAGCAGCTCAATGCAAAAATCCAAACATGCCATCTGAATCTTGGTTAATTTGAACTTCTCTTCTTCTTGATCCGTGACAATATTGGTGGGTAGCTCTTCGCGTCGCACCATCCATACTCCCCCCGTCCCAGCACCGCCAACGCGTCTACCAGCGCGCACTCATAATCCTCCACCTGAACCCGCTGGTTCAGCAGCTCAATGCAAAAATCCAAACATGCCATCTGGATCTTGGTTAATTTGAACTTCTCTTCTTCTTGATCCGTGACAATATTGGTGGGTAGCTCTTCGCGTCGCACCATCCATACTCCCCCCGTCCCAGCACCGCCAACGCGTCTACCAGCGCGCACTCATAATCCTCCACCCGAACCCGCTGGTTCAGCAGCTCAATTCAAAAATCCAAACATGCCATCTGGATCTTGGTTGATTTGAACTTATCTTCTTCTTCTGGCTGGGTATCTCTCTGTCCCTTCTCCTCCTCCTCTTCTTCTTCCTCAGTCATCTGCTCATTCATGGGGTCTGGGCTGATGGGGTGTCGCTGGTCGGCTCTCTCTGTGGTGGCTACCGTGGTGTGAACTGGTACTTTGGGCTCGTCCATTCATGCTCGACCTGCGTTCGGGCGAAAAACATCAACATCTGCTGCCATGGCCTCACGTGCTCGGCGATGCTCTCCTCGTCCATGTATGCCTGCAACGGGGTGTGCCGGGTCTGGTGTCGCTCTGTGCGGATGGCCTCGATGCGGACGAAGTGGCCCAGCCGTGTGATGACTCGCTGGCTGGTACGGGCAACCTGACCCATGGCCTCCCAGATGGCCCTCGCGGCCAGTTCATCTGGGCACGTGGTGTCATCGTCGGGCCGCTGCACGCAGTTGACCAGATCATTGGGTGCGATGTTGGTCAAGTACACCGGCCATCTGGTCCGCCGCAGCCATGGGTTGGCTTCATCGTGCTCCCCGGCCTGGATGACATTGCTGGTCTGCCGTTGCTGTTCCCGGTAAAACCGCTCCAGCTCATCAATGACATGGCTGGCTCTGTTCTGGTCTGGCGTGCCGGTGTGCTCAGTAGTCTCCTTAGTCTGGATCTGTATGTAGTGGGAGCCCTTGCGCGATGCAAATACCTGCTGGAACTGCACCTTCTGGCATGATCTGTCCACCTCATCCTGTGCTGCCGTACGCTTTTGTGGCGCTGTACGGCCACGGCTGGGATATGGCGACCAGCTGTGCTTGTTCTGCCAGTGCTTGCGTATGGTGTTCATGTTCCCTGCCAAATACTGGCACTGGGGATCCTGCTGGCACCTGTAGCCATCTTGAATGGGTAGTTCCGGGATTGGTTCATTCAGTATTGTGGGCAGTGTTAACTGTGTAGTATCTCGAGCCACATTGTCCCACTGTTCAATGTTCTCCTTTATCTGCTGAACCACCGCATGCTTTAGCTGATGGGCCTTGCCTTTCAGATGCCGTTCAATCTCTGTTGGCCACACAGCGTGCTTGCACCGGCGGCATATGATAATGAGGTATGATTCACAGTGGATAAATAATTGATGTTCCATGTCGATGCTGGGTCTGTCTTGTGCATTGAATATATATATATTTCCTTCATTCAGTGTCTTTGTGTGAAACTTGACAGATCTGATCTGGTGTGAATGTTTGTTTTTCTGTGTTTAAAATCACTCCAGAATGAAGCCTTTCAGTTTTCTTATATGTTTTGCTATTTTTATTTACTTTGTTGATCCTGCACCGCTTTGCACCGCTCCGTTGCCTGGGTGAAAATATATATATTTAGTTGGGTCTGGTTGGGTTGGTGGCTTACCCCATCAAACATCGCACCTCAACTCATTGACTTTGACACCACAATGTAACCCCTTCCCGACGGAATTATCGCTTTTGATTTGGATATGTTGTATTTCATATCCACTACGGCCTACATGCAAAGTTTGAAGTAATGGGGTGGCTGGCTGCCGCGGAAGGGAAGGGAAGAGGGAGCTCGACTGTGACCGGGCCCCACTGCGGGCACGCGGAGGCGGGAGCGGGAGCACGCACGGGCGGCCAATCAGGGCGGGAGAAGATCGGACGGGGGCGCGTCGGACGGCGCACTAGGGTATATAGGCGAAAAACATCAACTAGGGTATAGAATTGCATCCTTGATTGACAACGTAATTTTTGGGAAAAACTCTGCCCTCTCTGAGGTTACCTCTGTCAAGACTGTGGCTTCCCCAGCAGACAGGGCTAGTGGAGCTAGTCTGCAGCTCAAAAGCACCAGTCAGTCAAGAGGCCTCACAGAGGGCACAAAACAGCAGAAGGACTCACAAATCCTCATCACTCTTCAGTCAGAGAAACAGATCACTCAGCTATAGCCATATGCTGTGCAGCAGACAATTGTTGCAAACATTCAGACAGTGGGGGATGTGGCCAATGTGCTGAAGGTGGAGTCCATCAGAACAGATTGACCAATCACATCAAACAACAGAGGCATACACAATGCTCTGATCACGGAGAAGGCAGTGGCTACTCTCTGTGAAGTTCTTGACACCACAGAGATCCGGCTATCAGAGCAGTGGTACAATTATGCTGTCTCAGAAATCCCAGAATTTGTTTAGGACTGGGAAGGAGTAAGAATTCTCACTAACAAGATGATTGAGGGAGAGGTTCTGATTCACACAAAGATAAAAGTCAGTGAGCTGTCGACCCTCGCATCATGGGGTGAACTTCAAGACAGAGAAGATTACATGGATTGTCTTCCTTCTTGCCTCAGTAAAAGACTTCTCACTCTTCAATGTCAGTGAGAGGGTCAGGTTGATTGAGAAAAGGCTTTTGACAGTGAGACATAACCCAGAATGCCAGGGGTTCTGCCACTCATCAAAGTGTGTGTGACTGACAAGATGCTCCAACTGCAGTGAGCCCACAAGCCAGTATGAGGGGCCAACAGATGTGGAGTGCAAGAGAGTGTCAAGATGTGTCAACTGCTGTCAACTCTACTCAGCTAAGCATCAGCACTGCTCTGCTGCACTCAGATGTGTGAATGACATCCGCAGACATCTAACTCAAAAAGAGCTAGCAGCTGTTCACCACCTTGGTGACAGGTGTCACAGAGATGCTCAGGAGCGGCAATCATCACCAGCACAGCCAGCATCAATGATTGCAGTGATGGTATCTACATCAACCACTCAGTCAACCCAGTCAACACAGCCCGCTGGGCTAGCACCTCACAAGTGAGCAGCTATTCAGAGTTTCATCAGTGAGAAGAGTGCCACCTGGCAGATGACCCGCATCAGATGACACTCAGCTCACACAGCAGTGCAGCAGCACAGTCAAACAGTTAAAGAACAGTCTGACTTCAGCATGCAGACAGCAGATCTGAAGCCCTTCAATCTCATTTCACAGATGGACTTCAGTAGCAGCTCATTAAGTGACTTCTCATACTAGAACATCAACATCAGCAACACAGCTGACGCTGCAGAAACAATCAGCAGAAAAATCACCCTCTACAAATCTTCTGAGCAAATACAATCAAAGCAACCCTCTGTCACACAACAGATTTACAGCTTGCTTTCAAGCAGAGCTGTGAAATGATCTGTATACAGAAGACATACACACACCCTGGCACCAAGACTTCTAACCACTCAGTGTATGAGTGCTTTGCATCTATAGACCGCTGGGATGACACTAACTCAGAGCATTGAAAGGAGAAGAGGCTCTGAATCATGATATATATATGTAAGAGCTCAAAGACAAGAGCACAGCAACACCAGTCTGTGCAAAACAGAGATCTGCTATGAATCAGTGTAAATGACTGCCACATTCTCAATGTGTACAGACAGTCTGAGACAGACACAGTCATGGACTATCTGATCAATCTGAGCCCACCAGCCCGCTGTCTGATAGATGGGGATATCAACATACAGCATGATGCCTTTGAACCAGAGGCAGTGAATCTGCACCGAGGCGGGGAGCTTGTTCAATGGGCCAGTGAACATGGGATGGACTTTGTGAGAGAGATAGATGTTCCAACTCATGCAGCAGATCATATGATTGATCTCATCTTCTTCAATGTGATCTTTACTTCCACTACAGTGTGTCAAGATTTACACTGCAGCTCGGATCATCAGTCTATGATCATTATATTGTCAACAACATCTCAAACACAGTTGAGTGATGCTCAGATCATGATCACAGACTCTCAGTTGAAGCTCTTTACAGATTTTATCAGAGGTCTCATGATGAACATGCCTTGCTCAGAGAGGGTTGGAAATGTGGCACAGTTTGATGATCTGACTCAGCACTTCATTCAGAGTCTTCTGACTGCAGCTCAAACAATCAGTAAGCCAGCTCAACAAAGATGAACCACAGCCCTCTGATGAACAACAGACTGCCGAAGAGCGCACTGAGAGCTCACCACTCATCAGACAAAGGCCGCGAAGCATCAGTTCAAGAACACAGTGCACAAGATCAAGCATGCATACTGAAAGCAGATGATCAATGAGGTCAGAGATGGTAGAGATCTGTACTGGGTGGTGGCATGACATAAGCTAAAACCCAACCTCAGAGCACCCCCTCTGATGATTGGGGATCAGATCATAGAAGAGACAGCCATCAAAACTGAAGCATTTCAACAAGCAATTCTGAAATGATACAATTCAGCTGATGATCTGAAGTATAACTCATTGAATGATGAGCACTGAAGTGGCATGAGAAACCTGCTCTGGAACCCCTGGATTGAGATGGAGGAGATGGAGCGCAACATCATTAAGATACAGAGCACCTCCCCAGGCATGAATGGAATCACAGTGCAGATGCTCAAAACATGTTGACAGCATGTGTCTCTCTTTATACAGCAGCTATACAACTGCTGCCTCCGGCTCTGCCACTTCCCATGAGTCTGATAACTGGCAGAGGTGGCAATGATATTCAAGATAGATAAGAGGGATAGAAGCTCAGTCCACTTCTGAAGGCTCATTGCTCTGCTTTCAGTAATCTTCAAAGGACTGGAATGCATCATTGCAAGGCGACTGACGTACACAGCACTCATTCACAGCATAGTCAGCCCACAGTATGAAGAGGTGTTGCTCAGACAATCTGCAATGAATCTGATAGCTGCTTTCACTCATGAAGTGGAGGCAGCCTTCACACAAAACAAGGAAGTGTCCATGATCACAATGAATGTGCAGAGTGCCTTTGATGCTGTGCTGTGCAGGCAGCTGCTTCAGTGAATGACACAGCAGGGATGGCCACGCGAGCTGCTACAGCTCATTGACAGTTTCCTCACTGAATGTAGAGCTCAGATCCAGCTGAAGAGAATCATCACAGCAACACATCAGATGCAATGTGGCATGTTACAGAGATCTTTTTTATCATCAATACTGTTTCTTCTGTATCTGACAGAGCTGCTGTGGCAAAACTCAGAATTGTGCTTTCACTATGCAGATGATCTGAACATCTGATGAATGATGCACTCACTTAACAACAATGCCACTCTTCTCAGCCAGGATATACAGAGTATTCTGAGATGGGGGGAGATAAACAAAATAACCTTCATATCAGAGAAACTTGAGATAATTCATCTTACAAGAAAGTGACACAATGAGGCATCAGTAGTAATTGTGTCTGAGGATCTCATTGTTCACTCTGTTACTGCCCCAGCTGAACAGAAGCCAGCACTCTGCTGACTGAATGTACACTTCAACAGAAGGCTGATCTGAAGATCATATGTTTTCACTCAGACAAAGAAGGCAAGAGCTGTAGCTCAGCACATTCAGAGTCTGAAGAAGATCAGAGATGAGCTCTCAGCAGACACTCTGCAGAAAGTGATCATCATCTATGTGGTTCTCTCACTGCTCTATGATACAGAGGCCTGGTACGGCGGCCGCACGCAGTCAGCAAGGCACACAGGCAGGAGTGGGGAGGTTAGCTCCTGTCTAAAATGGCATGTGAGGACAGTTGAGAAGGTGCTTACTATGGCAGCCAGAGGGGTCCTTCCAGTTTTCCGTACAACCCCCATCGCTACTCTATACCGGGATGCTGGACTCCCATCAGCAATGGTAGCTCTGAAGGAGGTCAAAATGTGATTCATGACAAGGCTTCAGATGATGGATGAAAAGCATCCACTGGTTTCATGAATAGCACCTCCAATGATCACACAAGAAAGAGAGGCTGAATGTAATGCACTCGTTTATTATTTCCTTATTATTATATTATCTTTGTTTATATCTTCGTCTATTCTTACCTCTTTCCATTATACTCTCGCTACCACTATTTCTATATGTATATATATATGGATGCATGTATTTCGCACATCTTCTTTCTCTTTCTTTTCCTCTTCAGCGATTAGCTACAACTACAGCTACAACTACAACTTCAACTATACTACTACTATAATTATTATTATCTTCTACTACACTATATACTATCTTCTACTATTCACTCTTCACACTGTCATCACCCCTCACACTGAAACTCAACAGTGTTTAAAGATCAAGATTCAGTGGTTGAGGGCGCTGTTATCTGCAGTCAATAGACCCACACTTGTCATTCCACACTACTCAGAGGAATGCGGGACAGACCTCACAGAGGGTGTAGATAAAAAAAATGCTGCTCAGACATTCAAAAAATGATGAAGAAGTCAACTCTCAACAGATTTATATGTTTTCTCAGATGAATCAGAATGGAACCTTGACAACAGCAGGCAGATAAACTATGATTTCATAGTCTATCAGAAAAATAAACAGCTGCACAGCTTCTCAGCTGTGCTGAGTCTTATGTCACATGTCTTCAACACTGAAGCAGTTAATGTCTGCTGAGCATTAGAGTGTGCTGTGAAGCTTCTATCTTGTGTCACAGAGAACAGCAGCAACTCTTAGATCTGACTCTGCTTCAACAACACCTCAGTCATCTGAGGCATATGGAGCAGTGCAGCAGCCTCTTCAAACTGAGTCTACAACCGCTGCTATGAGCTTCTCAGACAGCACAATGTCAGCCTGAAATGAGCTTCTGAGCATATGAGGATAGAGGGCAATGAGGAAGCAGACTGCTTGACTAAGTGAGCAGTCTCATCTACTGCAGCCCCAACTTATGGACTTGAGGCCACACCCACAGTCAGTGGGGTCTGCACAGTGGTCAAGCAGCTCAGTCAAGAGGCAAGATGAAAGTGATGAAGTGGAGTCTGTGGCAAGCTCCCTGACTGATACTGAGGCTGGAGTTTCAGCAGACTGACTGTGAAATACCAAGTGAAGGCCTCTTCAGAGCTCACTATGCCACAGCATACTCTTCACTGCTGACTTGCACTCCACTCCTCTCATGAGAACTTTTTCTGATATCACAGATGTTTCCAGCATGCAGATGTGAGACTCATCTGTGTCTGTGAACACAATAAAAACTCAGAACATTTGATGCTCTGTCAACATTTATAAAGACATCTTCTTCACTGACTCAAGAGATCAGCAGCACAGCCACACAACGGAGTGACAGCTGTTGCCTATCTAAATTCTCTGATCTCTACAGACTTTGTAGAACTGCTGAACTGCACACAGTTCTACACACAGTACTGCACAAGATAACACAGGTGGCTGATTGCACATCATCTGAGAACCCCCACAGCAGTTCCACGAGGCCGGCCTGCTGAGTACACCCACAGTAGCTAGTGCAACTGCCAGAGACAACACAGTCTATACAGATAGTACAGATAACACAACTAGACTCATCTGTTTCAATTAAATGTGATGTAATCAGTACAGTCTACATGTCTGACTCAGTTGATATGTTCTTGACTGCCGGCATTGTATCTACATGTACTTTGCTTTGTTTTCCTCTTATTTGCTCTTATTTCTATCAGCTCAAATGCTTCTTCTTCTTTTTTTTCTTTACTCTCTCTGTCATTCTCTGCTCTTTTCCTTTCACAATCTTCTTCAGTGCTCTCTTCTCTCTTTTCCCCCGGGTCTGTGCCAGGTCATGTGACGGCAAGATGTTGCAGAGAACACAGTCTTTCCTTTATCTCTCTCTTTTATTGTTTTCATTTCAGAACACACATTTTCCCTCTCTTTCTTTCATTTATCTTATCTGTCTTTCTTCTGATGTTAGAAACACAGACAGCTTTCTGATCAACTGAGAGAGGTATCCCTCTCTGCTCACTATAAAGCCTTCCAGGCACGGCAGCGGCGGTCCCCTCAGAGAACCACACTATCCCCACCATGAATGGCCATATATTGGGTCAGAAGTGGATGCGCAGCTCAGAAAAATCCTTTGCAATGAGCTGAGTCTTCTTAAGAGTTGCCATCTGGATTCTGTTTTCTCTCTCTCTCTGTGTACATAGAAATCTCTTCAGCATAGCATGTCTTCATGCTCTTCAGAAGGCTTCTGAAACACGGGTGCTGCCCGTGTTTTCTCCGGGATGTTAAACCTATACATACATACATACATACATCCTTCAATGATGGGTTGCCACACTCAGTATGCCACATTTGGATGGCATGTCCATGTCTGGAACAATGATATGTCTGTTTGTGTGTAGTGCATGCAGAACCACAGCTTCTTCTTCTTGCTGAATGACAATGTGATTGTCAGCAGCATCATTTGTATCTTAACTATCATCAACTTGCTTAATTGTTGCATCTGAGACCAGAAGTTGATCTGGTCATTGAGCACTGTGTGACATTCATTGATGATGATTCAGTTCAATCAGTGGTTCAGCTGCTGTCAGTTCAAAAATGTGATAAAGTCCTCACTCAATGTGAACTTAGATGTCATCAGCATGATTGATGCTTCATCAGACAATCTTCAGCTCTTTCATTTCACATATGATATTCTCAACTCCTCACACCTTCACTGCATGTCTCTTCACAGTGCCATCAGTAGAACCACCACTGTTGTTTCCTCAGATGCAATTCAAGCAAGCAATATGAACATCATACTCTTCCCTTCTTCAATTGATATAATAATCATTATGAGATTTTCACTGTTCTGAATGATCTGTATCATTGCCATCTGCACCTTTCAAAACTTCAGTGTCTTGTCATTCATCATCTGCTGCAGCTTAGCCTTCATGTCAGTCTGTTGCAGCTGAAATCAACACTTCATACACCTCTTCTCAGCCTCTGTCTTCTATGATGTCTGCTTGTATTTTCTCAGAATTGCATCCCTCATCATCTTCTCATTCATTGCTGATTCAAACTTTAAAAACCAGTGCCAGTCTGTGCTGCTCAATTGGAACATCTCACAGTATTGATGAATGATCCCGGTCTGCTTCATGATTTCTCATGTGTACATCATGCTGATTATGTGCAATGTGTGGGCTGCTTGCATGTCTGTGATTCATCTCAGTCATTTCTTGAGATTCATGAATTCATCTTCATTTTCATTGCTACTGATGATCTGCTTCTGCTTTTTCTGCTGGTTGTTATTTTTGAATGTGCTGAATAGATGCATGAACTGCCTGCTGATTGTGATGGCGATGTTCTGATATGCTTCTTTCAAAGTTACAAATGAGATTTGTTTTTTTTTTTTTGATTGAATCAGATGATTCAGTTATTTAACTTAGTTTTATATTAATAATTTATTTATTTTTTTTTTTTCCTTTTCTCTTCTCCTCTGCAGCTGTAAAGTCAGTAATGATTGTATTGATGAAATCAGTGAATTACTGATTCTCTATTATTTTCATACCAACATATATGTTTTGCATATACATTTTGCTAATGTATTTGCATGATATAAAGACAATCTATTATTCATCAGATTGCAAGCTGCAATGTTTATTTAATAAATTATAATGACAATTCTCACAGATCCTCTTCAACATGTTGAAAATCACAATACATTCAATGAATGAATCGTAATTCTTTTCATATAAGTTGTATGATGAGTTGCCTTTGATGCCATGACTGTGAGTAAGTGTTGATTCTACATTTGTTGTCATTTTTAACTGAGGCTTGAAATTCTCTTCACATAGCACTATATCTCTCTTGGACTTCATTTCTCACAGCTGTGCAATGATCCCACTGCCATCTCTGATGATTTGTTCTACCAGCAGCTGTAGCCTACATTCTGGTGTCCATGCATTGACAGGCTGCTGGTGTGGCTGTGGGGGGATGAGTGCAGGCGGGTTGGCGGGCTGCTGAGGGTGGAGTGAGAGTGGGTTGGCAGGCAGCACAGGCTGCTGGGTCTTCAGAACCTGCTGGGCTTGCTGGGCTTGCTCTGCATTATTATTAGCTGTAATTCCATCATTTCTGAGCTGTTTTTCTTCATTTTTTGACAGTTCTCTACTTACATTCAGCCATTTTGACTGCTTTGATTGTATTACAGACATTTTGGGGGTTGATAGATGTAAATCATTGCATTTCGAATGCTTGCTATTTGATTGAAATCACTATGTTCTCTATATAAGCTGCCTGGCATTTAATTACACCTCACTTAGTGCTTCTACATTAACTCTACAACACTACTACAGTGTTATTCATCTTTTTCATCTATGTGATTGTTCTTTATTGACAGCTGTAGATTACATGGAATTCACCTATATGAGTCACGTGCAGCTGTTGGATATCTCATTATGTTCGCCCGAGGGATTAAACGGCGCGTTTTCAAGCTGGATAAGTGAGCGCAAGCGAGCGATTGCGGCTTGTCTACTCCGTATATTATATCAAGTTCAATCTACTCATGGTATTGTGCGGAATGTCGTGGTAAAATACGTTAGCTATTCTAGCTAATTACATGAAAAATAGTTGTATTTATAACGAATAAAACCGATAAGATTTGGGTATCGTCATAAATAAATCTTGATAAAATTTTGCTTCCCTTAGAGCTTTGATACAGTTCAAAGCGCCGTAGCTCCTGCAGCAAATTCGCAATTCCATTTGGCCTCGCCTTTCAAATGCCGGCAGTGGAGAGACTTGGAGGATCTCCTTTTTATTATTGACCAATTTCCAGACCTCTAGTCTTGTTTTCAATTCCTCTCAGCACCATGAATCCACATTCCGATCAAGCTTCTCCGCGTTGGCGATTTACTGTACAACCTGATTCCAGAACCAACAAAAATGTTTTTTCCCCTTGTCCCAACCTGTGTTATACCTAGTGGAATCATCAAAAAGCAATATGAAAGCAAGCCCCCAATCTTCTCCAATTTGATCAAACTACCTAGGACTCCCGCTGCGAAAAATCTACCTCTTGCCTGCAAAATACACCACGTTTGTTAACCTCCTCCTTACGCCTCGTCGCTGCAGCCCAGCATTCCAAATTCTCCATTTTCAACAATATGGCACTCACTGCCACCATGCGCATTGTGTCCATTCTCACCTGGTTCCCCTGAAACACATTTCCTAGCTTTGGAATTTATGGCGCAAAATTCACTATACAACTCTCCATCATCACAGAGGAGACTCCCCTCTCCAACCTCGGGACCTTGGGACAAAAAAGGGTCGTTGCAGGATTTCATCGGTGTTCTGCGATCTGCATCGAGGCTATTATCGTCACTATCTTCTCTTTTGACATTCATCATACTGCCGGCGCCCCAGTTGGAGTCGTCCGAATCTACAATTATCATCTCATTTTTGGTTCTCTTCGAGGTGCTATTGGTTTTCTCTGTTGGCTTGCGCTTCCTTGTAGAGAGGGTCTTAATGCCAGGCGTGCATTTTACTTTAGCCGGAGTTTTGGGGCTCGACTTTTTAGGAGTGAGTCCATTGTTGTCGGCTTCCTGTAGAGACGAAGTTCCGATTCCTGGTGTTGGATTCCCATTTGGGTTGATGCCGTTGGCTTTCAGCAGGCGCTCGTAGCGCTTGGCTCTGTGGTTTGATGGTCAGCACTCATTGCAGATCGCATTATGACATGATGACGAAGGAGTAGGGTTTGACAAGATAGCGGGACTGAGAAGGAGTGTGCATCGAATGGCAAGGTATGAGAAAATGTATGATATGGTAAGTCTGTGCATGTTCCCAACTATAACTTACGCTGCACCTTTACTGACAATGTTGCACTCCCTGGCAACTTCATCGAAGTCCACCTAAAGATTTCTCCATCGTGAGCAAGTACACAAATACTATGAGGCCAGCATATAGTGTCCGATAATACAATGAAATGAAACCTATAAAGGGAATGGAAAGGTACCTTTCCACTATTCGAGTACTTGACACATTTCAGCAAGAAATGAAGTTGCTCATCACTAGTGGCAGCAGGCATTTTGAAGACACTCCGTTATTTGGAAAGATGATACTGAAATGGCAAGAAAGAAATTATACGAGTTAAATTTGTGGATGAGGTCTTCGGTTTGGATCAGTTCGCTATACGTGCCCAGGGAGTGAGAGAAGAGTGACAGTTGTCTAAATGAAATCTTTTCAGATGCAAATGTCAGCACAGGACCTGAGACTATAATGCTGAATCAATATCTAATACCTGCCATTGACTCTCACTCAGCAAGGAGAATAATCGATATGACCTGTTGACGACAGAGGAGACATATGAATAGGTCTTGGTAAGGGCGGTGGACAGTCGATGGGTTAAAGGAATTGTTGTTTGGGGGGAGGAGAAGATCAACAGGTTGGTACAAGTGCGGTGAATGAAGAGATGGCAACAGGCAGAAGGTGAAAGAAAGGTAAATTTGATACTCGAGACACATGTAGTTATAACACAATGGATGAACACATTTGTGTCCCGTATTTTTGTGAATAATGGGATTCAGATATAACTCACCAAAATGCTTTGAAGTGGGATTGAGCTTGAGCTATATTGGTGTTACCGGAGATAAATTGGTAGCTATTAGCTAGGCCATGACAATTTTTCAACCTGAGGTCATGAATCTATTATCTCTTATAGAGTCTATTAGGTTAAAAAGGCATGTTAAAAACGCGATGTTTGTATTGAGAAAGCTACCCTAGCCACATAATTATTCTCCCTCAGATGGAAATCTGCCGCTTGTATGAAGATGGGGTATTGGAGACAGGAGATTAACCACCCATTAACAACGAAAGCTCGACAAAATAATGAACAATTGAACATTAGAAGCCGAAACATAAAGAGGGTATGGCCAAGTGGAGAATAACGACCGAATATCAAATACATTGGAAAGCAACCCGTCATCGAGAATCACCTTTAGGAAAAGGGCCCAAGGAACATAAAAACGAAACCCCCTTTCCCATAAACCCTAGTATCCGTTATGGCCATACTTGTACGTGATCTGGATATGAGCAACACATGTGTGAGAAGACCCGGTGAGTGGAAAGTGTAAGTTGGCTAGCCCATTGAGCATACAAAACAATTAAAACGTACCTAGCAGCATGATCAGGCGTAGAGATCAAGCGGTATCTTCCGTGGCAGCACCAATGGCTTCATTATTGTCATTATTTGCGGTGTGTTTGATCGCGTTATCCTCAGCGGCAGCAACTTTTGGTTTACGTCCACGCTTTGCCCCTGGCTTCCTCCCTGGCTTTGCCTTTTCGGCTTTGTCGCCTTCGGTCCCTTCTTCGGGAATTTCCACCTTGGCTTTGATGGGTCCGGTAGAGGCCTTTGCTCCCTTGCGAGGTGTAGCTGTACCACCGTTGGCAGAATTTGCGGAGCAGGTTAAGGGCTGCTGCAAATTGAACTGCTTTCGAATCTCACGTATGCGGTTTGCAACTGACATGGGATTTTTGTACTTAAGTGCTTTCGCTACAGCGCTGACATCGATCTGAGAAGAATTTTAGCACATCTTGAAAGGCCTCAGGAATAAGATATTGGTCCGTCAGAGGGAACGCACGGTAGCTGGAGTCTGCAGATGTTTCAAGCACTCCATCATAAAAATGGCGTCAGATGCTTTCCCCTTTGAGTCTGCGACATCACCTGCACTGTCATTGGTATCTGCCATGATGGGCTGGGTTTGAGAAGAACTGGTGGTGTGAAAATGCCTTGGTGGTATCCTAATAGAAGCAAATCTTGAAGGGATAGGGTTTTTAGAGAAAATGCCAAATTATTTGGAGAGGTGAGAGAAAATAGACGAGATGCGTTGAGAAGGGTTGAGAGGCGTTGAAAGCTCAAAATAAACAAGAAAAAAAAAAGAAAAAAAGAGAAAAAAATAGAGAGGAAGACCAGATATGGAACTGAGGGGAAGAATGTGTTATTGCTGGTTGCGAAGTGAACATCGAACACAGTCACTCCCCAGCAACAATGGGTGGCAATAATTTATTAGATGAATGCAACCTTCAACTTCCCAGTTGTGACAGATATAGAAGTATCGCGCGATGAATCGGAGTTTGGAACATATATTGGAACCGAGGTAATGACTAAGTGTCAGGAGCTTTAGCAGTATCGTAGGTAGATTTCTGAGGTGTAGGTACGTTTCGGAAGGATTCTGGGATATGGTGAACAAAATGTTTTGTGTTCAAATACACACCAGGCCACGGTCAAACGATTTTCATGTTTAGATTGTATCATCAACCCCATGGCATGTCATTGAGAGAGACGTCACCTTCGGTCCGAAAGACTTTTCGAAGGTATCCCTGTACAAGATACAGGGAAGAAAAAAGCCTAAATGAATAAAGGAAAAAAACCAGGCGCAACTAGCCCGGAGTAGGAGTTACCATTTTGGTACTAAATGCACGAGTACAACGGCCACAAGACGCGTAGCAGGAGGCTAGTAGAAGAATGAAAGGTATTTTTTGAGTATCCGAGATGAGCAATAAAGGGTGCTACTATGTTTGGATTTCTGATGCAACGCTAGGCAATGGGGGTAGTGTTTTTATGGTGTTTCTCTGTTAGTGGACTGAAAGACAATAGACCCGCAGACATGTATGCCACGCATGTTGCTGTGCTGCTAGGAATTTCCCCGCCTCCTCCCTTGTCTCAACTGACATTTCTATTCCCCCGTTTAGCCATGCATGGCCTCATTCCCGTTTTACAAGTCCATCACGCCTGGTGGTAGCCGCGCCCTCACACGTTTCAATCTTGATTCGACTCCATTCTTTGACAGTTGGCGGACAGCTTGGAAACCCAGCGACTGGGTGACTGGAGGGAAACCGGAGCGCAAGATCAGCTGGTGCAACCGTTGTCACCAAGTAGTGCTGTTGCACCGAGGGGGGTGGTTTCAGCGTCATGTCCACTGGCAAGAACTTTGCATTTGCTGGCTGAAGATCCATGTCTTGTTCTTGCTTGACCGTATGCTCCGTTTTTAGCATGAGTTCTGGCTTGGCCTCGCTAAATTGGTTCTTTTTCAAATGAGTTTTGTCGACGTTTTTGTTCTTGGGGCGCGGAGTACGGTTGTTTGTCGTGATTCCTTCCATGTGTTGGCGGAACCTAGAAAAGCGCATTCGTGCTGCATGGCCATTTGAAATTTCAAGTTGGGATGCTACAAGATTCCAGTCGATCTGGCATACGAGTCAGCAAGTCGCTTGTAATCTTGTAATTTGAAAGAGTAAAGAGAGCCGAGAGGACAGAAATGGGCACCATGCTTACCGATTTGAGATCGAGCTGCTTCAAGATTGTATACAGGAATTTGGCTGTTTGTCCATCCGCGGGCATCGTTTTGCTTCGCTTGAGGCTGGCCATCCCAGCCACTGTAGATAGCTGAATAGATAACTGGAGATAGAATGTAGAATGGTCACAATCGACTGTCGTGTCATGAAATGGGTACTGAGACGAGGTTCCTGAATTTCTACTGCATCGCAAAAAGATGCAAGCCGCAGTGATCAAGAAAAATCAATTATGAGGAAGACAGACCACTGGCACTGTTGGAGGATAGCGAAGATACTTTCAAAAATTGACGGCTTCTTAAGACACCCTTAATGTCTGAGTTCATCCATTCAGGAAACAAAGCGAGTTCTGTTATTGTCAATAATATCGGCTACCCACTGCAATTCATGTTGACTAACATTGGAATTTTGCATGAAAACAATGCACTGAAGTTTCAGACCACCCCAGGTAATGTGTTAATATGATCCTGAGAAGGAGAAAAGGGTTTTCCCACGAAATGCATCATTGCACACTTGCCCCTTTATGGGCAGGAAGCTGGGATGCTGCTCTACATGGTCTGTGATCGGTTTGCAATATTTGTATTGAAAATAACTTAGACCTAGAAAATCCATAACCCTCACGCCAGGTTTCATCGTCGTAATTATGGTATGGCAGTGTATATTACCCTTGAGAATCGTGAAAAATTTAGAATGGGATGAGTATTACAATTTGATAAAAAAAAATTAGGACTAATACAGACTGACTCACCACATGCGGCAATTTGTCTAACTTGAGCAGTTGAAATTCCAGTGACACCCAAATTATTCTACAAATCTGCATACATTTGCGCTCCATTCCGGCGGTTCCAGTCTGACAGCATTGCGTCATGGGTTTTGAGGTGGTAGCCGCTTGTCAACGTTAAGCATCACAGATGCGAGATTGGTAGCTACGACATTTTCGACCTCATCCATTCTTGACCTTAAAACTTTCTCGATTCCGTTTAACTTTGACTGTACGCTCCCGAGTTCCTCTATCTTGGAAGTGAGAGATATTATTTCTTGGGCCATTCGGTCTCTTTCCGCAGTCATGTCGCTGATTAAAGCCGATCGCGTATTTTCGGCAGCACTGATATCGCTGCGCACAGAGTCGAGAGCAGATGTAAGTCTGTTTAATTTGTCGTGGATGATTGGGATCTCCTGCTGCACGAGGCTGGCATGGGGGTACATTTCTTGCATCGCTATAACCATCTGCTTAACAATGGGCTCCGTAGACAAGTGGTTATACCGTGTTTCGAGGGAATTCAGGGCGATTTGATGAGCCTGTAGAGTTCGCGACTGGTTTTCAACAAGCTGAAATCGATTGTTCACATGTTGACTTAGCCCGTTTATTGCCTGACGTAGCTGTTCAAGTTCAGCGTTCATTTGGTGCATGCTAGTTCCGACTGTTTGACTGTTCGTTTCGTTCCGTCGATCCATTTGTTTCAATTTGCTCATCACCTCTTCTAGCCGGGCAATTCTCGATTCGTATTTATCAAGCTCGTCCGCTATAGCTTCATCCTTCGCGTCTTGAATTTGACGGAGATTCTGAAGCTGAATCATGACTTCCGCAGGGGTGCCAAACTGAGGGCATCCATCTGTGATTGGTTCCGAGTGGGAGTACATAAGAGACTCTGCGCCTTCGCTTACCTCCCTTCCTGTCTTCGCATGCTCAGAAACTACACGATCAAGCGTGTCAAGGCGTTTCGAGGAATCCCTCTCATGAGCTTTTGCAGAGGGCTCCAACTTGGACTCATCCTTAGCGAATTTCAAATTAGAGTCTAAAGTTTGCTCTTGCTGACACTCTTTTTGTTCAATAGACTTGCTTTGACTTGTAACCACAGATTCGGTGGCATTCTTGTGATCGTTTTGCTTGGTAGAAAGTTCAGATCTGACGTTTTTAAGCTCCATCTCTATCGAGCTTTTCCACTGTTCAATGTCGGCGATTAGGTTGTCATTACTTTGAATCGAACTTTTCAGTGAATCCAGAGTGGGCGTAATACCAGCTTGCAAGTTTGCGACACGATACAGCTCAGACTTAATTTCGCGCAGGTCATTCTTCATATCTTCAATTTCAACCCGATGTTGAGCCTGTTGTTGACTGGACATGAAATTGGCGGCTAGACCTTTAATAAGTTCTTGTTGCATTTTCTGATGAATTTTAAGCTTTTCATCAACCCTAACAAGCTCATTATCGAGCTCCTCTTTTCCGGTTTTGAGGCGTTTCGCAACAGAGGGGTATTGGAAATTGCGATCACTGGCCTTGCGTAGGTCAGTCGACTCCGCTTGTGACCGCTTTTTGAGCCTTTCTCGCTCGACAGAGATAGCTGCAATGGATGTCACGTTTGAAGCAAATTCTCCAAGAGAGCGCGCAGGATCAAATTTCAGTGAATCAGGGCTTGACTTGCGGGGATCCCTCGATAATGACTCATCGTGGTTAGGCCCCCCGAAGGGACTGCTTGTCGGGGAGATTTGTGGCGAAGGCATCCTACTTCCACGGAATCAAAACATAGGGTCATCTAAGCAACTGTGCAAGACTGAATCAATTAATCATAGAGCGGAAGACCATCAACAACTAAAATAACTCACCTTGGCAGAATGGGCTGGAGGGAACAGATATCAACTCAAGCTGGGATGAGCGGGTGGCCTGGTTGTGTGAATTGGGAGAGCATTGACAGTTCCAAGGAGGCCAAGGATCTCGGTTTCGGGATGTTGAAGCTGAGCGGAAACGGAATAATATTAATACGTACAGCCACGCAGATGACTTAGTAAGGCTTAGCTCCAACTTCGTGTAGTTAACGCAATCAATTTATTTGACTAAAGTCCGCATTCTCAAATACCAGCCCTGCCGCACGATACAGTTAACTTATATAAAAAGAATACTTCGACTGATATCCTGGGAATCCCAAGTCGACTGAGTACCTCTGCTGTACTCTCTCGCCTGCCATGGCAGTAAGTTCTCTCAGCTAAATGACCAATCCATTCAGACCACATTCATCTCATGCTTTGCCGTTCATAGGCTATATCCACAATCGCGGAGAGCAAGGAGGTCAGGGGCCTCAACCTGGTTGCGGCACACTCTCATATTAGAGGCCTTGGTGTTGATGCGGACACGCTTGAACCACGCCATTCCTCACAAGGCCTTGTTGGCCAAGAGAAGGCGCGCAAGGCGGCTGCAATCATTCTACAGATGGTAAAGGATGGAAAGATTGCAGGCCGCGCAGTCTTGATTGCCGGACCACCCAGCACCGGAAAGACTGCAATCGCTATGGGGATGGCGCAATCGCTTGGCGCTGATGTCCCGTTTACCATGGTTGCGTCGTCGGAAATCTTCTCACTGGAAATGTCAAAGACAGAAGCGTTGACGCAAGCGTTCCGCAAATCAATCGGAGTCAGAATAAAGGAGGAGAGTGAGATAATCGAAGGCGAAGTTGTTGAAATCCAGATCGATCGAACTCTGACTGGCGTACGTCCCTACCAATAGCAATAAGGGGGTTTTTGTTTCTTAGTTGATTTATTTATCTAGGGATATAAGACTAACTGTTGTATTGTAGGGCAACAAACAAGGCAAACTTACTATAAAAACCACGGATATGGAAACTATCTACGATATGGGCACAAAAATGATCGATTCAATGACAAAGGAGCGTGTTGTGGCTGGAGATGTAATTTCTATTGATAAGGCTTCGGGTAAAATAACCAGACTTGGCCGCTCATACGCCCGCTCTCGAGATTACGATGCGATGGGAGCGGATACAAAATTTGTCCAATGTCCGGACGGAGAGTTACAAGTCCGAAAGGAAATAGTACACACAGTCAGTCTCCACGAGATTGACGTGATCAATTCAAGAACGCAAGGCTTTTTGGCACTGTTTTCTGGGGACACCGGCGAAATTCGAAGTGAAGTCAGAGATCAGATCAATACAAAAGTTGGAGAATGGAAAGAAGAAGGCAAAGCAGAAATCATACCCGGCGTGTTGTTCATTGATGAAGTCCATATGCTTGACATCGAGTGTTTTTCATACATCAACAGAGCGCTGGAAGCTGAATTGGCACCCATCGTGATCATGGCGAGTAATCGTGGAAATGCAAGAATACGGGGCACATCGTACAGGTCACCACATGGGTTACCCCTGGACTTCCTTGACAGAGTCGTTATCGTCAGCACACAGCCATACACCAAGGAGGATATCCAGCAAATATTAGCCATCCGTGCTCAAGAGGAAGAGATCGATCTGTCCCCAGACGCGCTGGCCCTGTTGACCAAAATTGGCCAAGAATCAGGCCTGAGATATGCCAGCAACATCATCGCGACGTCCACCTTATTGAGCCAAAAGCGCAAATCCAAAGATGTTGGGATAGAGGATGTACAACGAAGTTTCCAACTTTTTCTCGACCCACCTAGAAGTGTCAAATTCGTAAAGGAATTTGAGAAACGGTTTATTGGTGAAGAGGGGGATGTTACCTTCTCTTATGTCAATGGCGATGCCATGGAAATTTCTTAAGAGCCTTATTTTCGTAACAATTGTTTTCCTTGTGATTTTCCCATTGCTTCTTTCTTCTGGGCTTGCGATTTGTGGTTGATTTTGGAGTGTAGGATGCGATATCAAAATTTTATGGCCTTTGTATATCAGTAATACAGCGTAATGCATTATTGTCCACGAGTCAGAGACCTTTTTGAAGAGTATAGGAACCCACTTTCAAACCGGATATACCACTTTAGTTGTAGATATATATTCCGTAAATTCGTCTGCAAATACTATATACACTAACCTTATCCTGGCAAGTCACCAATTTGCCAGTACAGGTTTCGTCAAATGAAATCGATAAGCAATCATGATATCACGTAAAACTTACTCTGGAGCTCCACTCTCCAGTCGTACCGACTTTCCGAAATTCAACGCCTTCACCAAAATAGCCAGCGACATGCCAAGACTCCATCATAGCACCATCATAAGGACCATGAGCCTCTCCTCCATCGCGCAAATCGGACCAGCGATATTCCCACAGCGGAGCCGCATCTGTCTCTATTTTCGATGAAGCATCTTTCGCTCGCGAGGAGTCCACCCAGTCTTCCCCTGTTTCTCGCTTGTATTGCCTCATCAATAGCTCTCGCTCGGTGTCATATATCTCGGACTGGCCACGGCTGAGCAGGATATCCGCAGCCTCAGTGACATCCTCGATAACACGCTTGCGGGCTATTTCAGCTGGATCATCTTCGCCCATTGCTTCATCTTCCGTGCCGTTCTTGCTACCCCTCTGTCGGTTTCTATGTCTGTTCTGCCACTTAGGCTTCTGTCTGACACATTTTCCCAGCCTTGCGAGTGACTCTAAGATTGTCTCACCCCGCTCCAAATTTCTGATCAACGTGTGCAAGATATCCGCTGTGAGGATACTATCCTGTTCAAGTTGTATCTTTCGCCGTTCCTCTTCCCTCTTCTCTGCCGCCTCCCTAGCCTTCCGCATGTCTTTTCTCGACACACCTTCCAGCCAAGTATCGTGAATAGCATCTGGATCAGTAGCTTTGCGAACAAAGTTTCCGGCCTCGTCAAAACGCCCCTCCTCCTGCTCCGCTCGCATATTGAAAGCATCTAATAGTGGCACGTGTGTTTTTTTCCCGCCAGCCCCCAGCTCTTCGTCCACGTCTGACCCGATCCTGGCGCGTTCTTGTTCGTCGACTTCGCTTTCACTGTCTCCTTCCTCACCTAGTGCCACTTGAATCATTTTTCTGTGACTATCAAGATCAAGAGTAACAGTTCCGCCGGCGCGAGAATCATGTACCTGTCCCTCAATCTCATCATCCTGTAGGAAACGGACTTGCTTCTTGTTGCTTGGGGTTGTAACGCCGTCTGATCTACCAGTAGCAAAGTCCTCTTCTAACTCTGCGAACATATCATCTATATCTCCAGAGGCATTGTTCATATTAGCTCTAGATTTAGCCTCTATGCGAGCATCAAACCCCCCATTGTCACTGTCAGAATCATAGCCCTCAATGTTGACTGCGTTACGCCGCACTCGGCGTCTTCGATGACCAATTTCGTCGGCATCCAGGATCGCGTCCTCCTCTAAGGCGTCTGGGGCTAATGCGGACGGATTTCGAGGGTCAAACCGAACTCTTTTCGAAGATGTCGGCCCGTTCTCATCAGAATCAGTGTTATGGTTTGTGGGGGTAAAGTCTTCCCCAGCCCGCTTTGGTCGACCGGAGATCGATGATGCTATTGCGGATTCTTGGAGTAGTGAATACCTAACTGCCATGGTGATAAATTCTTGATTCAACGCGTCAACTAACGTTATACGCTAGGAACAATTGTATATTCCAGATATCTGGATAATCCTTGCGCCACGCCATGGTGTTGAGAATGAAGCTGCCGGTCGGAATAATGTCCCTCCGTCATGATCCGGGTTGCGTCACTGTTGTTAGGTGCTTAGTCAGTCTATTCCTACTCTGCCTGGTGCCTCTAGTGTAGAGTACTCAGTGTTCACGGTCAACGTTCAGCAAGAACTACAGCATCCTTGCCCGTGTTTCTACAACATCTTTCTCCTCTTATTAGATTTCCTTTGGCGCCCTTTCCCCTGATATCCGGGTTCTGTCGAACCAACCATCGGGTTTTGTTGCCTCGGCGGTAATCCACTCACTTCCTCTGTCCAGATCCCCTCTCAGTAAATAAAAATATAGCTGTAACTCCTATATACAGCTCCGCTAACGCGACGTCAATACTTGCTGTAGCGGGAATGGTAAGCTTGTTGTCAATATTCCATAAATCCGGTTTATATTTGCGGAGAGCTGACATTTCAAACCAAACAGTTTCAGGGGGGCTTTTACGATGGGGATGACCCGATGGACGGAGTACTACCTCCGTCTATGATGCGACATCCAGGATACATATCTAGGCGGTTTGATGAGTTTTATAGATGCTACCCCGTGGCCATGCTTCCCGGGCCAGAACGAGAAAATGTCAACCATGGCGGAAAAGTCATCATGCCGCCAAGTGCGCTGGACAAGCTCACACGGCTTCACATTACATATCCCATGCTTTTTGAGCTTCACAATCGAGTGAAAGACCGGACGACGCACGCTGGAGTTCTGGAGTTTATTGCTGAGGAGGGAAAGATATATCTGCCATTCTGGGTGTGCTTTGCTACTGTTGAACTTTCAGTCCTGGAAACAAGGAATATGTATATGGCGACTTGCTAACTGTATGCTCTGCGAAACTTCTAGATTATGCAAACCCTTCTTCTTGAACCTGGAGATCTCTTGCAAATTAAATCAACAGATCTTCCACCAGGTCAGTACATTAAACTGCAAGCGCAGTCAACGTCGTTCCTCGATATTAGCGACCCCAAGGCCGTCCTAGAAAATGCCTTCCGCAACTTCTCTTGCCTTTCTAAAGATGACATTTTTACCTTCTCATATAATGACCATATCTACGAAATGGCGGTGCTCGAGACAAAACCACAGCACTCCAAAAATGCTATCTCAGTCTTGGAGACAGACCTCGAAGTAGACTTTGCTACCCCTGTGGGATACGAAGAACCAAAACGAATCAACGAACCAAGCACGCTGCAGAGTGCAATTGGCGGAAGTCTTCCGGCTGGTGGCATGCTTCATTCTCACGGCACAATGGCACAGTCAATAAACTACTCCGCCATTGCGCCTGAGTCAATGGACGCGACAAAGGGAGCCAAGGCTATATCATCTAACTTCCTTATCGGTGGACAACGGCTGAATAATAAAAAGGGAAGCAAAGGACCAACTCCAAAGGCGTCCACTCCAGTGTCTGCCGCATCTTCTAACGCTTCGCTACTTCCCCTGCCCAACCCCAGGATGAATGGGCCTCAACCACTCCGTTTACAGTCTGGTAAGCTGTTTTTTGGCTATGCGCTTAAACCAGTGAAGAAACAAGATGCAAAAGAGAAAGCGGAGGATGGACAGCCGAAATTCAATGGGGTTGGCCAAACATTGCGTGGAGTCTCCAAAAGAAAAGGGGCAAGTACCGGAGACCCATCAACTCCCGTGTCTGCCAGCGATAATGAGAGCAAAAGTGATCCGAAAGCACGGAGTCCGGGTCGAACACTTGGGCATGGATCCAATCGCCCAATGTAGTTGGACTTTGCTTGTTTCGTTTTAGAATAGCTAGGACACAATGGGATAACGTGGATTTCATTTAACCCTCTTTTTCCTTTCCTTTGGCACAGAGTTACTTGGAATAGGAAGGCTTTGGCACAGTCATGGATTACAGGAGCCAATAAGATAACTAAAGAATATCCAGGTGGATGTCACGATCTACATCTCTTTTTACATTCGACTTCCGCCTAATGATTGCTACTTAGGGGCTGGGGGAGCATATCTAGAATACGTACATATACCATGCTAGCGAGGATTAAGTGGCGATCGCGCCCTCAAAGTACGGTTTAAAATAATGTATCTTATCAGGCGAAGAGCTATGGCCAAAATATTCCACACGACATACGGTAGAGATTTAATAACCAGTAATGTGATTTTTGGAAGCTGAAAGTTTACCGAAGCAATACTCGACAAGTGCGAACTTGGGCAAGAGGTGACTCTGTCCCATACGGAGAATTCCACGGACTGGGGCGGCACAGAGTAACCAATGCACCATTGGTAGGAGAAACATGGTGTCAGTTATCCCCAAAAAATGCAAAACTCTCATGCCGCTTCATCTTCAACCATTCCAGAAATACGGAGTAGAACCTAACCCAGTCTGCGTTCGCGAAATGTTCCCCGTTGCTTGGGGAGACATGGAAATACGAGGGAAACCGGACATAAGAGTTAGCTGAGCATCACTTGAGGACAGAGCTGGTACTAGCGTGGTAGTACAGCGTAAGCTCAAGAAGCAGATGATAAGCTGAGTGGAAGATCCTCTCGAAAGTTTTGATCCTCACTAAGAATTTAGGGTTATATATTGCAACCAGCATTAAGTATTTCCCTTCCACATCTTAACAAGAGTCGCAGCAGTGTTCTAAGGGGGCTATTGCCTGTGGCACCTGAGTAAACCACCACAGCTTAACTATAGGATAGCCTAAATCTCAAGGTGCTTAGGAATGAAACTTTTGAAAGGATCCGCCGTACTCCGTACTCGTGAGAAGGATAATTTTCCTCACACCAAAAACGCACAGTAGTCAGTCGGAGTTAAAAATTGGACCTTGCAATAGGATAGTTAACTTGTACATACTTGGATGGTAATACAGAAGATACGGGACAATTTTGTCGCTTATTTCGAATGAGCGGCACTTTCAGTGGCGGATTTGGTGGAGCACTTCGGATTTCCAGAGCCTGGTCCGGTTGATAGTTACCGAAGCTATTCATCTAGGGGTCTCCAGATTTATTTATTTTAAGTGCATGAATCCCGCCGCCAGCTGATGATGTTGACACAGAACCCACGAAGGGATTGCATATCTAGAAGCAATTATTACTATGGCTTCAAACACAACGCCCGGCTCATTGCCGGAGCGCTTCGACGAAATATTTTCTTCATTTACAAAACTGTCACCCACTATATATATACGTGACAAACCGACATCGGCGTCCCCATCCCCTGAATCACCTAGGGAGACAATATGTCTGCTATTCTGGATGGACGCGCAACCCCGACACACTGCGAAATATGTCAACGAATACATTAAAGTCCTCCCAAATGCGCTCATCATTTGCGTGAGAACTCTCTCCACCGATTTGCTGTTCAGAGGCTCGAAAAAATCTCACCGTCTGCGTGTCGTCCCGTTGGTTAGCGTGTTGTGTGCCTCAGATGGGCCCATGCATTTCCACGTCTTCTCCAATGGCGGGGTTTTTTCATTACATCACGTTGCCGCCGAGTATCGCAGGTCCACGGGCAAGCCTCTCCCTGCCAAATCGCTAATCTTCGATAGCGCTCCTGGCCGACACGCCCTCCTTGCCACCGCCAGGGCGTTTTCATACGGGCTCCCTAAGTTTTTTCTCTTTCGGATGCTGGGGTTCTGCGTTATTTGGGCCGTATTAATATCTCATTGGCTGGCTTGTAAGCTAAGGGGAGAGACAAATGCGATTGATCTTGCGGGGAATGAGATAAATGACCCTACCCTCATTGATTTGGGAGCGAAGAGATGCTATATATACTCGAAAACTGATGAACTGGTTGAATGGAAGCATGTGGAAGAGAATGTGGCTCAGGCAAAGGCGAGAGGTTGGGAGGTGTCGTCTGAATTATTCAATGGTCCGCATGTCGGACACATGAGGTCTGAGCCTGAACGATACTGGAAACTGGTTTGGGGGCTTGTATTGCGAAATGTTATACCCAATGAATAGGCATATTTTGGAGGACTTTGAGCGAATATCAATTCATTTCCTTTATGGTTACTAGATGAGGCCTAGATTCCTACAGTTAATCTTTGATTCATCCAAACCTCCCGAACCTAATCCCAAGATCTTACTACTCCGTTCTGATAGCATATTTAAAAAATACACTGTCTGGGTGCAACTTTATCAAGAGGGACAAACGAGTCACCCATAAGACCAAGCGAGAAGCCCAATTTAGACAGTATCGTCGTATTCAGTATATGTCGCGTATCCACTAGAATATCCCACCGCCCCTGCTAGCTCTTGGCCTATATTGACCGCCACGTACTCACATCCCCTTGAGAAGCTATTGTTAGTTTCGTACTCGTTTTTCAAATTGCCTATCTCAATGAAATGGTTCTGGATTTTTGCCTTCGGGGATGGTGTGCTATTTACTGGGTTTTTTTCATAAGGAATACTGGCTTCACTATTGTGTTTGACGAAACAATCCAATCCTTCATCGATCAGGATAGGGTTGTCAAAGCCGTTCTCGGTTTTCATTTTGCTCAGTTTAGTCGGGGTCAAGGGCGTTTGCATCCGACCGCTTTTAACTGCAGAGCTCGGTTTGCTAATGCGGCCACTGCTGGTAGTGCGGCGGATGGGAGTTCGAGAATTAGCTAGTTCTTGGTTGTCCTGACGCATGCTCTGTGCAAATTTACGATACTCGCGGAATCGACATTTCATGGAGTCGTAGGTGGCACCTTGGCCAAAGTGGACTGCCATTGTTTTGTAATCCGGCTAATGTATCGATTTAGTATAAGATAGATAATAATCGGGGAAGAAACGACTGCAAGGTATATAGATCTTACGGTAAATCCTGGATGCGCTGCCAGTAATGCACCGATGAATCGCTCGATGGAGTCCTTATTCCAATTTATCCCCATCTCGCGGAGATCGGCAAGGACCTACAAAAGTTGTTCCACGGTTAGTTCAAGCCCGATTGGATAATATGGACGAGCGAGAGATAGCTATACCTGAGAGTTTGAAGTGAGGTGTTTTGGATCCAAGAGAAGGAATGGATCTAGGAAAATATTGAGGCTTTAAACTACATAATAGGAAGCACGTTCCATGGACAGTGCCAGTTATAAATTAATCAGGCTGTGACTTGACATCTAAGTGGAAATTCAGTGGGAACAACAAGGCCAATGTGAAGTGAATAATGTTCATGTGTTATACAAACTATTTCATGCAGGGTGAAGCATACATAAATTGCCACTTAAAGGTCGTCATTCTACATTAGAGAAAACTATATTTTTGGTTGGACCATGCCATTGATATGTCTTGGATTGGCTTTTGCAATCGTCCGGTACGAGGAAAATTTCAAAAGTTTCCCATGGCTTAATACAGTGCTGGTAGAAGCCTGCAATGCCGATGGTGGTGTCAAATGGGAGTTGAAATAAATGCATCCAAATTGTACTGCAATCTTCAGAAGCAGGAATAGAAATTCAATGACGACCTGGCGATGTGAAAACTGGGACATGAGGGTCACCTTGCTTGCGAAATTGTGCGCGGACAACACGCCAAGAATGATGTAAGAATCGGATATTTTGACTGGGTTTGTAGTGAGCAACTCAGTTAATTTAGCAGTATTCAATGAGACTGGTAATTCAGATTTTGCAAGATATAGTTATCACATGCTTTGCATTTAAATTTCTACGAAAATATCAACTAACAGGAAGTTAAAAAGCACTGATTGACATCAATAATAAGTTTCGAGATACGCGAGCCTAAAAAGCAGATGGCTCCTTTTAGGCAAACATGAACTTCGAGGAGGAACAGGCGGAGAGGAATGTAGCAAGTGAATCGTTGATGGTGATGTAACAAAGAACATGTCAGGTGTATAAGATAGATCATTGATGAAACTTGGTTTGTGATCAAACTGGGTGGGATCAATATTTGTAAAAGGCGCCAGCGTTGACTTCCCTTGCACGCGGCTTCAGCTTTCAATCAGACGAAAGAGCACGAGGATGGGATAGGGGATATCCTCAATCTCTGCGTCAGAGTTTGTCTCCCTTTTCCTCTTCAGTCCTCTCTCCTTTTGGGGCCTCCCGATCGAGGACAGCCCGTCTCCTCATCAGATTTGGGCGTCGGATCGCTGTATCCTTCTCCGTCCAAAGCTCCTCGTCGGCATTGTCCGGGTTGAGGTACGAGGTCCTTGGTGTGAAAGCCTTTATATGATCCAGGTGGATCTTAAATGGGAACATTCCACCCCGTGGGTGGGTGATCGAATATGAATGTCCCCATTCACTGGTTTTTCCTTCAACCACAAAGGGTCCTGTCCAATGCTTCTGGAGTTTCACTCTTTCTTTTTCTTTAAGCATTACTAAACTTCCTGGCATCAGAGAATGGATATTGGTTCTCATTTTCTTTCCTTTTTCTTGTTCATGCCTCTCAGAGGCAGCCTTTTTAATTTCAGCTCTATATGACATAAAGGCTGTGATCCCTGAGGCTTCTGCAGGACTAAAGTTCTGGAGCACTTCAAGGTCTTCTTCTGAGAACAAGGATTTTGCTGATGGGGCAGGATTAGTCGTGAACTTCAGGATGTCATCCGGCTGTCCTCTCTGTACTTCGGAGGACTCGGTCGCCTCTATCTTACCTCCTGATCCTCCCTTCCACTAACTCCTCTACCAATCGTCCGCTCTCTAGCGGGCTCAGCTTATCAGTGGTAATGATAGGATCCTCGAGTAAATCGATTCCGAGGAGGTGGGCACCAGAAACAAGCTCTCAAGCAAAAGGGATCTTATGTAAGCCTACAACTTCACAAGCCCCGGAGAAGTGTTTTTCTTCAAGGATTAGGAACAAGAATTGAAGAACTAGTTATATTTGAATTGATTCCTTGGTTGATTGATTCTAAGTGTTAAAAAAGAAAATAAACGAAATCTCCTCTTTTAAGAAATAAAAATAAATAGATTTACAAAAGAAAGGAAGTAATAAGGGTGCACTTAAGGATCTACCGGGAAGGAAGTATTCGGTTAAGGAAGGAATCTAGCTCTCTTCTCTTGGGGTTGAAGTAGTTAGGGTTTTGCCAAGACGGGAGCGGGAAATAAGAATGTTGATCCATCAAAACCTTAGTTATGTGGGATCGAGGAACTTCCCCGGATGAAAAGCTTGCAGGCTGTAGTGGAACCGCGTTGTGTTTCATGGATCCCCTACTCAAACCTGTGGAACAGAGTCGCCAATGATTTGCAAGATCTTTCATTTGAGGTTAGAAGTAATTATGCTACACCCCTAATTACATGCCTTGAAATCCAACAGGATGGGATCAGTTGCCTTCACAGGCTTTTGAGACGGTTAGAGCTCCTATGAAAATACCTGGAAAGGTGAATATCAACACTCTCAGCTTTCAGCCCCCTTTTATTCTTTTCTCGTAAAATTGTCACTTTCAAGCTCTTTTGAGCTTCCTCTCACTGAAATTTTTCCTCCATCCTGCCAGCCTTGACAATAACACATGCAAGATTTATTCACTGACCTTCCAAATCACAACTTTTTGCTCCGACAATTTCTTCTTCTATTTACTTTAACAACACCTTTTTCTCTGTTCCTCCCTCTCTCTTTTTTTAACCTAACTCAGTTTGTTCCTCACTAAAGCTACAATATTCATCTCGTGCTAAGCCTTGATGATAACATTCCACAACCTCCAGCTCTCTTTCTAATCCACCCGTCTTCTCTCCTTTTTACATATCCTTTCCTTTGTGTTTCAGTGGACTCATTTTATACAAATCTTTCGAACATTCACCCTGTTCATACTCTTCCCGTCTTACGAAAATGGTCAAATGGACCCCAGAGATGGACCAGCAAGTAAGAGATGTTATTTCACATCACCAGAATACCAATCAACCCTTTTTCACTCCTACTCATTCCATTGATTTATATGGCCTACTTTAACTCAAATTTATCCCTAAATGAAAACTTTCATTTTTTTTTTTTTTTTTTTTAATATATCTGCGCTTCACAATTTTCACTAACAATTTTACCTCAAGTTGCTGCTGAAAATTTTGGAAACTCACGAACTAAGCGTGGATGCAACAAGCGTGTCCGAAGCATGGCGTATGAATTGCCCACTTTTTATATAACTCCTTTACTTTCACACGCTAATTTCAGACAGCCGGCGACGACCCGAAGGCTAAACCCACTCCTCGGGCTATTACTGAGCGTCTGGTCAAAATCAAGTCTCACATCAAAAATGGAAAAAGTGCAACTCCTACCTCCACTCCAACAAAGCTAGCCACACCGAACCCCCGTAACCGCACGCCCGCAAAACGCAAGCGCGGGGGGGATGTCACTTTGACTGGCAAAAGAGATATCAAAACTGGGGCTTACATTTCCCCCACTTCGAATATAAAAACTATTAAACACGAATACAACGATGAAGATGATTTCCCAATTGATGGGATGGTGGTTCATAACATGCGTACCTTATCTAAACGTGCGAGAGTTACCCCTCCTCTCCCACATGGCAAGGTTACTTACAAGCGGCGTACAGATGACGAGGCTCAACACGAATGCAGTGACAGTGAATTCATGAACCCTACGAAGGCGGAGCTCGCCGATGGTTATGGCAAAATTCACGTTAACGACGGTGAAGCAGTTGGCGCCACGGAGTATGCTTAACGCAACAGTTCCCCAGGAGTGCGGGCCGCGAATGGTATACTGTAAAATATCAGCTTTCTGATCTTATACATTTTATGGAATTTCGCTGCTTGGTTCTGAAAATGACGTGGCACCTGCTTTTTCCTGGAGTTTTACTTTTTTTTTCTTCTCTTCAATAATTGATCTCTTCCGCTTGTTCTTGAGGTGGGAAGGCTTAATGGATCTGGTTAAGTTTCTTATCCTGCCCTTAGTGTGGCGCTGATTTATGATTTTCTTATGCACAATGTTATTGGTTCACTGCATCTTTTCACGGGCTGCACACTCCTACGGCAATTGGAAAAGCTTATACCATAGAGACATAACTTCCGTCCAACAATAAGCTCCAGGAAATCAAGCACATTATCCCTTCTGAACAGGAATGGACCTGGATGCCTACTGGTTGCCATGATTGCATCACATCCTACTCTACTCTCATCTCTACCCTTCCAACATTTGTAGGAGAAATAGATTGAAATAATCGGATTCAGATTGTTGTACTTTTTAACATTCCCCTGGACCACCTCAAAGGTCCTCGAGCAACTAACGCCCCCTCTACATTGACTCTCCCATTATCCGCTCATGTATGAGTACACTATTTCTAATACATGCTTCCACGACTTGTCTTCTAGGCGACCCGAACAAGTTGCTCCTGAATTTAAACCCAGGATTTAAACTCAGGCATCCTTGCATAAATCCTTGATTTCGATCCCGTTTAAGTATTCGGTTTTGACTTGCTTTACAGGGGACTCATCCACTAGAGTCTTGCTGTCATCATCGCCTGCACTCTTTCGTTTCTTACTTCCAAGCTTGCCACTCGCTGGCGTACGTTTTTCAGGGGTGGGCTTTGCACCTGTCCCTTTCTCGGGGGTGGAGGGTCCAGAACCGCTAGATTCTGCCTTAAGGGAGGCCTTCCGCATGAAAAATAGATGTTCTTTAATTGCTTTTGGAGTACATCCTGCTCTATGTTATTAAATGCGGCATATAGCAATATTGTATGGGTTATTTTTGAGGAATTATCTCAACAGTAAACTCGCGTAAAGGGAGTTGTAGCGGATGACTTACCCATATACTCCGCGAGCTCTTCATGATCTTTCTTCCCCAGTTTTGCGTTTTTAATGATTTGCATGAGGAGCTAAAAATTATGTAAATCATTATTTTGCAAACAAAAGTAATACGTGGAAGTAGAAGAGGTACAGTTCATTGGGGAAATTGCCATAGCTTAACAATTTGTTTACTATATTTACCTTCACTTCTGTTGCGCGATCCCACTTCAGCTTCATAGTACCACTTTCAGCGCCCATCTTCGGATTCGGCTCAGGGACAAGGTTTAAACTGTTGTAACTCGAAAGCTTGACGGATATACTGCAGGAGTCTTCTTAGAAAGTGATATAAAAACAAAGTAGATACTTTTGAGATGAAGTAGAAAAGATATATCATTTGCTTCGAAAGTGTTATTATAGGCTCAAACAAGGTGTGAAGTTGTGCATTCACCGTTTGCCTTCCTTTATGGCAAACTGTTGGTGTTGTAATTTCCATGGTGCTTCAACAGCTGATAAGCAACTGTGACGCTATATATAACGAGAAATCGATTCCCTCTTAAGCAGTATTTCATTCCAATAGCTTGGGAGCTAATCATTATCCAGACACAATGCAAATGCGTAGCACAGTTGATTCTGGTCTTCATCCTTGACATTCTCCAAAGCATCTACATCTCCACCCTTTTAAGGTTGAGAACCAGAAAGGATCACTCAAAAATTACACGCAGTCGTAACTGTCGCATTAATTGGTTCCAACTTGATCTCCCTACATTTTTCGGGTTTTGATCTCTTAGTTGGAGAGCCGTAAATTGAAGCTTCACTTCATCATTGTCTTGAGTCACCTCCCTGTGTTTTTTGTTTCTAGAGCTCATGAACTTAAATTTCTATCAAAGGTAGTGTCGTTGGTCGACACGCTGGCTTGTCCTCTCAGAAGCTTTTTACTTTGCCTTGAAATCGGCAAGTAGAAAATTCGATTACGCGTTTGAATACGTTTTGATGGCCATCGCAGTGCATCCTGGAGAAATATTAGTCTATGTATCTCTACCCCTGCGTTACATTTAAATTTTCACGTAACTCCTTCCTTGTCATACAACTTGAAAACAACTCGACTATGATACCCCTGCTTAGCATTAGTTACCCATATATGCTGCTAGCTCTTGGTAGCCTATCTCTCCAGGCTTAGCGTACTTGGGGATTCGCCTGAGAGGTTTGAAAAATGTTAGATGTAATATCTTGAAACGACCCAATTGCAACTCTTGTCACATCACATACCTTCACATCCGTAGGACTACCCCGGGTCATCCGCATTTGGCGGACAAAATCTGTGGGTCCAAAACATTGGTAATTTGGCGTTGAAATGAGGGTTGAAAGGTTAAATATTCGGATCGAACAGGAATATTGACCAATATGAGCTGCAGTATGTGTTTGAGGTGGAAGAGTGGGCGAAGGGTTTGGGTTCATGAACGATCTGGACCTGTTGTTTAGAAGCTAGATGAAGTGCTATACACTTCATTCCTAAAGATAACTTCTGCCCAAAGGCACAGCATTTAATCCACAGTAGCTAGCATCTAATACAACTACTCAGCCGTCCAGCAGAAATGGCATATGCTTCTAACGTATCGGTTGATTAAGTTTTCATCGACATTGACAAACACTGTCTCTGAGCACAGAATTCCGCGTCGTTGGTCTAGGGATGGAGAAAGAGCGACACGTAGCGATACACCGCTATTGCAATATCTCCTTTCATTTAATATGCTAGTAATAAAAGCCGTTTTAAATCTGTACTTCCATCTTAAGCAAGGAATCGAAGTTCTTCTCGATCACGCAAGATTTTTCTCAATTGTCTCGGCCATTCCGGTTGCATGTAGTATCTTCGCTACTGCGGCATGCGTACCGAGTAACACGCGATTAGGCAGTTCGTAGTCGGCATGTTTCTCAAACTTGATGATGTGTTCATTGTTCTCATTCGGTTGAGGAAGGATCTCGAGCAGAAATGTAAGAATGGGACGGTAAATCATCACCCGATAGCTGTTTCCTCACTTTACAGCGTATGGTTAGTTTGTACTATTGGACAACACCTGAGCGATACGCACCGTTGGATCAAGAGCTATCTCAAATTTGCCGAACACCATATGTAGTGAAGCCTCAAGAGTCATCAAATTGCTATAGTCATTTATCGTATCTGCAGACAAATTGGTGTGAGAGCGGATGCCAGGGAAACAGGTATATAGGCTCTCCCATATTCTAGCCAATTGTTGTTCCTGTAATTGAGGTTAGGCATTGACACTCGAGTAGCAAGATGCAACACTAAGCTGAATTTTAGTTTGGTAATTGCCTATGTGAACTAGATCGGTAGCGCCTGTTTTTTGAATTATACTGTCTGGAAATTTCCCAGGCACGTGTCTATAGTCATATACCCCGGTGATCATACACCGGTAATTCTTGAAACAATTATGATTCAGCTTTGATTGAGTATCGTGGACTACGCGCAATCATATGAGCTGCAACTTCCATGGTTCGATATTCTGCTTCTGCAAGGGGTGATGGAGTGATTATCGGGGTAAATCGTACTCTCACTGACGTAGAAATGTCAGTAAGATTTCATAGCGGACATCTACGTTTAGTAGGAATGGTTGCTTGCAGGCGCTCAGAAAGCTCAAAGAGACGATTATCGTCATCACAGTTTGTAATGAAAGGTATGATATTTTGTTTTCCCTCGTAAGGTAGATGGTCGAGAAAGCTTTCAATTTTGGTTGTCTGATCACCAGATGTTGTGGCTTGTAGGTTGATAGTCTGAGCCTTGCTGCATGCTCATCTACAGGTGCAGGGAGCCCTAATGGAGCTGGGGAGAACGGGTTCACCATGAGGCTCATTGGTGGACATTAGTGAAAATGGGAAATTTAAGATGTTTAAGGCCAAAGGAATGCTAATTCGTTGGCTTGAGTGTTGTTGGACAGTGGTTGAAACCATGCCTTGTTTGTTGCATTTGGCATAAGATGTCGTTCTAACAATCTCGGCCGGAAAAACCTTCGGCGTGGCTCAAAATCGCAATCAAGATCGACTCAACTAAAATGTACCATGAAAGATTATTAATGCACGCCTCTGAACAACTAACTAGTTAACTAATGTACTCCTCTAAATATAATGACTTGACTCATATTTCTCAGGCTCTAACCCCTTAGCTAATTCTAATCATAACCTCTAACTCTGTATCGAGGTGGTGGGCGTGCATATGTATGTGACTCTGAATGGTGTGGGTGTGTTTTAGCTAGTATGACAGGAGTTGGGTGTAGTTTAAATGAATTTAGATTAGAGAAAAAAGTAGAGATATAGAAATAAAAATCAGTGATATCAAGATATCTATCACCTCTCATGATATAGAAATGTTGAATAGATGAAGTTGATTATTGAAATTCATTTCGAAGAGTTTACTACGAGGATGATGAAATTGTTCTGCGTAACGTTAGCATGCGTGGGACTGAGACTAAATAAATTGGGCGGCGGCTCGGCGGCTCCATTTAAATACAACCACAAACATGATCACCCGCACAAATCGCTCATTGCTTTCTCAGTTTCTGATCTAATCCATAACCGTTTGAAGTCCAGACCGCAATAATTGCGTGGTTTTTGCGAGACTGCTCTATTGTCGGCATAGGTCCTGGATCCTGTTTATAAGCTCTTGATACCCCCTGATATTGATTCCTTGACACAGCCAGCAATCTCCCGTTGAACCATACTTATGGCATCCTGTTGTGATTCAAACAATGAGCACAAGGCTTCCGCAGACTCTAAAACTAGTCCAAAGTCACATCTCACTGGTTCATCGCGGTTTTCGCTGATTTCACCCGTTGCATCTGCTCTCCTTCATAGCTCCTGCTGCTGGCTTCCGGTAAGCTATCCCTGCTTCATCTTTTCAATCCTCCTGGATCAGCCATATAGCTTCTGCATCGATGCTAATACTACATCATTCGAAATTATTAAGACCCTACTTGACTTTTTTTCCCTTGGATCTGCTTCCGCATCCCAACTTCAGTCTCTCCGGCCCGTCTTCTTCTGGATTACCCTGCTTATCCTCACTGAAAGCATAAGGCGAAACGGCCGAGATCGCCGCACCCTCTACCGTATTGCTATATCTGGGTTCCTCCTAGCGTTGCCCCGTCTTTCAAACTTTGCGAAGCAACATAAAAGTCCAGGGACACCGCACCATAGCTGTCACTGATAATCGAATTACCATATCTTGATTTACTATCCTTTTGTCCTATCACAACTTTTAACCATGTGGGCGTTAAGGTATATGAGCAGGACGAGGGTCACCCATGAATTGTTATTTGGGGTCCATGTTTTGCATAGCGAACAATCTGGTAACCGTCTCACGTCTTTGGGGAATGTTGTCTGTAAATTCCGGTCAAAACACCATATTCCCAGCACGACGCTGGGAATAGCAACGACATCATCAAAGGTAAACCGACAGTGCCATCGCTCGCCACCAGCCCTTTTGCCATCCCCACTTACCTTAAATTTTTGGAAATCGAGGCTTGTTTGGAAAAGAGCCGTATTCAACACACTGCGCTGCTTAATTGGCTGTACGATAGGTGACTTTTCTTGTATGTGGTTTTTACAGGCATATCATCCGTACATCGCCGTCGGCTACGTTATGGGGGCATCTAGTATGTCTTGCTCTGTTTTGCCTTCCTTTCTTTCTCGACACATTTGGGTCTCGTTGTAGCACATACTGACAATTTTTCGCTAGTGGCGGCTGGCGTTGCAAGTTCTATGACTGCTGAAACTTTTCTACTCCACTTTGGACGCGATAAACTGGCCTGGTTGCAGGCTCTTAAAACAGCTGCAGGGATGAGTATGATTTCGATGGCCAGCATGGAAGCAGTCCAAAATGTAGTGGACTATCATTTGACTGGAGGTGTTGTCTCCTTATCTGACCCCTATTTTTGGGGTGCTGCTCTGGTTTCTATGGCCGCAGGCTTTCTTGCACCGCTTCCATATAATTATATCAGACTACGCAGATATGGGAAAGCGTGCCATTAATATGAGGGGATTTCTTGCGGATATATTAGACTGAGTAATAGATGTATATATTTTAGTATACTCTACAAATATCCCAAGTAGAATTGTATTTTTGAACTTATAGTTTCTAGTTTTTTTCTTCCTTTTACCTTTTAAATGGTGTTTACATGATTGGTTGATATCTGGTAGCCCATGGATTCACACTCAAACAATATATAAATACAACTAGTAATAGAGTGATAAATAATATCTACGACTTTCAAAAGAAGCTAAATATCTACTTTTTATCCCCGTACTTAATTGGGTATTTGGCCTCTTGGAGCAATGCCGTTTCTAATAGGGGCACTCAATTTGCGGGGTAACTAGCCTATTTGGCCATGATACTTGATTACTTGATAGTTTACACGCCAACATCCAACCGCTATGCAATCAGCCTATTGTCTATCTGGTTAAGTCAACGTTGTTGAAACGGAAGACCAAGCAAAACATCTCATCTTGAAACCCCCGGGGGATAACATTGGTGAGTTATCCCGCCAAAGCCGCTGATGTCGATAACCACCGCATTCCCTTCGCCGTCAAAAACGATATTCGAGGATTTCATGTCCATTGAGTTTTCTTTGCCTCATGAAAGCGATTCAGAGAAGTTTCGATATGAAGGGGCCATTTCTCCCAAACATACTCTGCAACACGGTTTTCGGAAAGCACCTGCCGCAATTATCCTCCAGGATATGCCTCGAGTAGAATACTATTTCACCACCACCCGAAGTCACATGAGGCTTTGTAGATACCGCAACCCCCACCAGTTGCAAAGTACTCGAAGCTCCCTTCAAGAGACATCGGTGTCGTGCGGCTCGTAAAGAGGAAGATTAACTGTCTTGAGGATATATTCGCGTCGTATCCCATCGATGTAAACCCGATCAATACTCGGTCCGAGATTCCCACATCCGGTATTGGCTGTTCATCGTTAAGCCTCCGAAAACAGAGCGAGAGGTGTCATCCAATTCGAAATTACCATTTTGCCGTGTTGCTAGGGCGGCTCGTAGTTAATTCGCCCAACGAGACCTTGAAATAACGTGCGGCGTTGAAGCTTCGAATCCTGCTTAACTTGGCCATTATCGAGGGAGGTTAGCGATCGTATCAAGCGGAGTCAATTTAAATAGTTCAAAATACAAACATCTCAATACAAACATCTCCACAATATAGGCTTTTGCCAAGAAATTTTGGTGGCCAAACACCTCTCATCACTCTCAATACAGAATAAAGATAGAATTATATTAGTAGAGACTAGAGTTAGCTATTAGAGTCTGAGAATATAGAAAAAGTATTTTCTGGAAAAACCTTTGAAATGATTGAGATTATGGCTATAGGAATCTAGTTCTGACCACACTACGGAGTAGAGTTGAATTAAATAGGAAGTCAAAATTAACTAGTTACAGCGTGCAATTTTTGAGCCTCACTCAACTTTGAACCCTGTCATGGACTCTCTGGTGTTGGTTCAAACTCCCAACCTGAGGCTTTACCAGCTGAAAATTTGAACCCCATTAGATCACCGTTCAACTGTATGCCCGGGTGGAATCATAATATTATTGTTATTGGAGGGACTATCTGTGCCCTCCGCTTGGAATTCACTGTATGTTCCAAACATGCTACCACAGGCTTGAGTCCGATCAAGTCTAGGATATCCCTAAACAATGCAGTTTCATTGGTTTAAGATTTGAATCTCCTTTATTGTGCCTATGGCTCCCACACTTCGACCGCTTCCCCCTAGTCCGCGGGAGCTCTCATCGCGCCCAGTTCGCTCAAGCCGAAAGAGGGTAAAAACGTATCGTGAGAATAGCTCCGACGATGATTTGTCCTTCCTTGATGAAACGGATGATGATGGCTCAGATGCATTCCGCTTGTCCATTCGTCGGCCAGCCTACCGTGAAGACTATGATTCTCATCAACCATCTAATGCTACAGTTGAAAGCGGCTCCACTGTACAGCTGCTGCCCAGAATCGAGTCGCGAACACCATCTTCTCGCCGTAAAAGCTCACTGATTTCCAGAAGCTCTCAGCGAACTCCGAAAACCCCAACGCCCAAGAAGCAGAGGCTCCATGAGGAGGTTGATGAAACACATATAGCGTCATCTGGGGTGATTCCACCTTGGCAATATCTCCCTTATCATGTTCTTCTCAGTATTTTCAATCATGCTTTCCCCCCGATTAGCACTCAGGCATTATCTGATGCTACCAAGTCAGTTCGATGGCTATTAAGCACGTCGCGTCTCTGTCGAAAGTTTTTTGAGCCTGCCATGGCAGCTCTCTACTATTCGCCGCCTCTTTTCCCTCCATCCAGGTTGGCGGGCTTGGTCCATTTGTTGGAGCAACCACAGGAAAATCTTTTTACAAACTATAGAAACAAAATCAAACGGCTTGACATCCTATTTCGCCATTATCACGTCCGCCATGTTAACCTCGGACAACTGATTGCTCTCACGCCTCAACTCCAGCACATACGGCTCCACGATACCACACAATTTGCAATGCCCCCTTTCATGAATGCGAAGCAGCGCTTAAATACGTGGGGAAATTTTCTTGATGCTCTAGATGCAAGCAATATCCGTCTTCGCAGTTGGGCTTGGAATGGAGAATTCTTGTTGTCATCACCGCGCTTCCAGCCACAGGAGATAGCAGCGGTCCACAGTCGTCCAGCGTTTATGAGTTTGAGGAGTTTACAGCTCCTCAACCTGCCTCCCATCTCCTCAATAAACGACAATACTGATGGAAATGCTTCAGGTGAGGCCGAATCAAAACCGGGAAACCTCTTCGCAACTGCCCTATCGTTGCTCCCGGGGTTGCAAGAGCTAGAATTCAATCGATGTTACAATGTCGATGATAATCTATTATCATTTCTCGACCTGAACCTCAGGTCACTAAAATTAGTCAACTGCGAAAATGTTACATCTGCAAACCTTCGCACCTTCCTCGTCCGTCGAGGCCAGAACCTTTGTGAACTGGTGCTCGAACATAACCGGCATCTCAACATGTCCTTCATGGTTGACTTGGCCACATCATGTCCACATCTTGAAGTATTCACTCTAAACTTGAATTTCACCTCACCAGTCTCATTTGCCCATGATGTCGTTCCATACTTTGATGAACTTCTCCACGACTCTGAAGTTCCATCGTGGCCAGCCTCGCTACAGATCCTGAAACTAGAACGGTTGCGAAAATGGGAGATGTCCACAGCCATGCTATTCTTCGACTCATTGATCCGTTCGGCACCGTATTTACCCAATCTGAGGGTCCTCATATTATCAGCTATCCTTGAAATCGGATGGCGTGACAGGGCATCCTTTCGCAGAGAATGGGTAAGCAAATTAGAAAGGACATATCGCAGGAGGTCACCACCGCCCAATCAGTGTTGTAAATCGATTCCCAAAAAAAACCATGCCGTGGGATATACCCGTGAGGAGTTTTCTGGATCGTATTCCAGCACTGAGAGAGAAGCACCAGCTCCTCAATGGCGGAGGCAGAGTACACGAATTGCCCGCCAGCAATCCGTCGTATCCAGCGACGACGAGCGACGGACATTCACCAAACATAGCAATGCTCAAACCAATTCAAGTGATAGAGGAGAGTTCATTCACGGCATGTGTGATGTGGTAGAGATACGTGTGGACAATTTACGGCCCGCTGACCATCTCCTGACGAACGATAACGTTGTGGACGACGATACCGATGACGAGGACTGGAACGGGCGGGACGCCGAGGACGTGGAACTTTATGCTTGGTAATCCATGACTGCCCAAATTGCTGCCCACATCTCGTTGAAGTCGTATTTCATAGTTTATTCGCTTACGCTTTTCGCGTGATCTATTCATTTAAAATCTTGTTTATTATGTTTCTGTACCAATATAGGATACTCTGGGCAAATAGCCGGAATGTATACTAGTTAGTATACACGGCTGAAACAATATTGCATTGATTATTCTTGGTTTCGGTATCAATGGGCAAGCTCTGGCGTTAGGATGGGTTGGGATGCCACACTGAAAAAAAAAAAAAAAAAAAAAAAAAAAAAAAAAAAAAAAAAAGACAGGAGCAGGCAGTCTGAATACGGAAAAGGGACACCGGAGTTCATTTAGCGTCGGGGGATTGAAAAAGAAAAATCCTTCGATCTGTTCTATTCTGTACTGCGCATGATTTATTTGCAGATTTTTTGCCCCAGCTTTTTTGTGGTAATATAATATTGAGCCCCACTGTGTACTCAACCAGGGGCCCAATTATTCTCCCAATGTAACAATATTGGTTCAATGGATGTTTTTGAAGTGCGAGTGCAAGTAACACAGGCTGACGGTAAAGGAAAATGCATTCGAACCATGCAATATGAAAGATATAAGGGTCGGCTGGTGAGTGGGCAAGTCAATCGTGATATTGAAGCGTCTATAACTATAATAACTATTTAGGTTATTTTTCTAGCAACTTATTCCCTTCCTTCGAATTTTCAACACACCATTCGTACTAAGCACAATAACAGTCAGGGAGGCGTTCGCCGAGATTGGGAACAATGGATGTCATCAGAATAATTTCTCAAGTTGTAAGGCGTTATTGATGCAGCATGCACGTGGACGCAATCTCAGTGAACTAAAGAACAAAGCTAGCAACCTCGCACCGGTAGCCTTGGACAGACCAGATGTTGAGAACAAAGGAAACGTCTTCATCCTCCTATCAGCTACATAAAGTCATTCTCTAGCCAGTATCGAGCCCTGCTTGCTGCTGATCACTGCGGGCTTGAGATATCCTGTCCGGTCTACCCATAGTCCGGCGAATCTTCTTATGCCAGCTATTCCCGCCCCTCCTTACATTACCCGCGGATTCCCTGGGAGGTTGGCTGTTGGCCATTACAAGCTTGAGAGAAATCGCCTGATATCCAACTCATTGCTGTCTTTGAACCCGCGGAATTCTACCCACCTGCACACTGTATGTAAAGGCGGGCCAGCCTGGTGGGTTACGACCCTCAGTCCTCTCATCTCTCTCGCTCATATTGGGTTGGCTGCAAGACTCTCCTGATACAAGCCGTCATTTTCCAAATCAAGCCCAGCAAGTATGTACACGTACTGAGCTAACCGTCAGTAGCTAACTACATGGTGACATAGCTACATACCCATCTCCATCTATCAGTTAGTTCCAATACAAAACGTATGTTTTTTTCCGACGGGACGACATCTCCAAACCTCCCCGATATCCCATCCTTTTGCCTTCCAGCCCTTTTCTTTAATGTGTGTCCTTTGTGTGTTGTACACCGGTGTGCTGTCGATAAGTTCCCTGCAACTACTATCGTGGCATGGTTTGTTCGACTCATGCTCGCTAGCTTCTGTCAATGTGCTCTGATGCGCTTTGATTTGCTGCTGCGTCCTCCACAGCTAGATTCAACAGAGCCGAAGCGTTCCAATTACCGATCTGCTCATTTCCTTCTTTTTTTCCCTTTCATTTGCATTTGCATTTGCATTTGCGATTAAATCATAAATATTTGTTGACTTCAGGTCCTTTTGGTACATTTACAGGCAGCGGGAACAAATCTTGTGGTTGTGGGATTTGACGAGGACTTTACAAATAGGACATATCCATATCATCAGAATGAGCGCACAGTCATCGCACATCCTGACCCCTACAGATAGCGGCGGTCCATCTTCGCCTCCTCCGACGCTGCCTGAAGGCTGGTATGCATCTCTTCCTAGCCACCCCTCAACGCTTATTGAGAGGTTCTTGCTGATACTATCAAATTGTCTCTCAACCGAATAAGGCTTGCACAGTGGGAGGGCGTTTCGAGAAAATGGTATTACGTACAGCGCGCAACAGGCAGATCGCAATGGGAAGTTCCCACCGAGCCCTTTATCCCGACACCCTCATCGACCCCTCAGTCTGTGGCCAGCCCTGGACCGTATCATCCACCCATTACGGGCAACATACCAGCACAGGATACGACTGAAGCAACAAGGGAGTTGTTGAACCTTCGTGGAGGCAATTTGAGACAGTCAGGTGGAAGCTTTCCCGTATGTTTGTTGCTTGACATTTCCGTTTCTTCTTCCACAGAAGCAAAAAATTGCGTCTAATAATACGTAAAACCGCCTCCAGACCACCCCATATGATACTTCACAGACTACTCCACAGTCAGGACAAGAATATCAACAAATTCCATCTGCAGGAACGCAAAGTACACCGGTTGGCGGAGTTTCCAGCTCTCAACAACAACAGCGGCAACAGCAGTCCCGCTCCCCGAGTCAAGGAATACTAGGTCAGGTTGCTTCGGATCTTGCCCACCGTGTCGCCTGCCAGAATTCCAGTGAATCCCAATCGAACCAGCAAATGGTGAATTGCGTTAATTTCCTCCTACCCTGAATCCTCCTGCAAGCGTACTGATTTTTAACAAACATCTCCAAAACAGGAACAGAACCAGGTCCGCTATTCACCTACGGATCAAGCGAGTCCTTACCCCAACTTGAAGTCTCAATTCATGTCTGGATCCACTCAGTTCCATCAAGATGATCAGCTAGACCAAGGAAACGTGCAAATGCAAGACGTGAGCTCGAACACAGCAGCACCCTACCAGAGTCAGCAAGACTCTTCATCTGCTTACCACACAGACGTCGATATGCGGATTCATCAAGCTTACACGGACCAACAAGCCGCCCCTGCTTCAAGTATGAATAGCCAGTATCATTACGAGCAAACCAATGTCCAACATGTATCGCCGAATACCTATGGCGGCCAACTACAGCACTCAAACGAACAGCTACCAATGCACCAAACGCAATCCGGTCAATTCGCCCCGAGACCCGTGCAAAACCCTCAGCCTGAAAACAACCCAATCACGATCATCCACCCAGATCCAAATGCGCCTCCTCTATTCCCCAACCCCCATCGAGGGGGCCCACGACAGCCACACAGCTCACGCTCGAACATGACAACACCCCCAAGGACCTATCCACCACACCCAGCGCCGCACTATAACTCACGTCCATCCGTCCCGCAGCCACAGTACAGTTCCAACTATTCCGGCGGACATCCAGGTCCGTCCCCAAACTCTCATCCCCCCCCAGCAAGCATACCACGCAGCCAACAGCCCCCATACCCACCGGAGGGTATGTACCAACCGAATATGGGCCCGCCACCCCAAAACTACAATGTGTACGCAAGCCACCCAGGCCAACCGAATTACGCATATGACCCGAGGGTGAATCCGCCATATGGTCAAATGCTGCCACCGAATATGCATGATGATCATGGATTGCAGCGTCAAACTAGCCAGGGCAGTGGTCAGTTTTGGCATGGGCATCCTGGGTCGGCGCAATCTCCTCCAGACACTCATGTGGGCCAACGATATCCGCCGGCTCATCCCCAGCAACACTATGGCGGCGGGTACGGCAGGTAAATTCAGGGGTTAGAGGGCAATAGGAGGCAGATTTTGAAAAATGTTTTATGACCTAACAAATTTTGCATTCGCTCGCTATAATTTATGATTCAACTACTACATCCGAGACATGTATACGCAACGCCCATGTTCCGGGTTGAACGATGTTATTCTCCTTTTTTTATGGCTTCACAATGGGATGAAATTTTGTTTTCGCCTTCGTTTTCCCGGTTTCTCATGGATTTGACCCTTTTTGAATATTTTTTCCATTCGCATATTTTCAGGCTTTGATGTGCAGGATGCAGGATTGGTTAGCTGGCGGTTAGCCACTAGTTCAATTGCATACTACGCAGTATATAATAAATGCTTCTGGTGAGAACTTGAATAACATCACGCATTGTCAAGTCACGTGTTGGTTTTCAAAGGTTACGATATAAAAGGCGGTGAACTCTCGTTCAGAAAACATAATTCTGCCGCGAAAAAAATGGTTGTTGACAAAGTCTAGGTGATCCATAAGTTACTACTCCTCCTCAATTGCAGTCACTCTTTTTGTTGAAAATTTGGTCCCATAAAGCCTTCCTGCATAATGGCTTCTGTATACAAGTCCCTATCTAAAAAGAAAATCAAAGTATCTGCCAGCCACGATGATGCGGAAAATATCGATGTCTCTATGGCTGATCTGCCAGACCATCCGGACGAAACCAGCGATAGCGATGACTACGAGAACGAAGACAAGCGTTATAGACATGATGGAGTTGGGGGTAGTGTAGAGACTAAGTCGCAGTCGGTTCCGTCCGGATATATGCCTAAGACTCGAGTGCTCATGCTGACATCGAGAGGAGTTACGCACCGGTATGTGAAGGGATATTCAGGATGGTTAACCATTGAGTCTCGTTCCTACGGGGTTATGTCTATGGCTGAAGTCTATGCATAGATACATAAGACTGTGATAAAAAGCTAACCCTATATCAATCCTCCAGACACCGTCACCTTCTCTCAGACCTAACCTCCCTACTCCCCCACACACACAAAGAAAGCAAACTCGACACGAAAAAGAAAACAGCCGGCTACAATTTCCTCCTCAACTCCCTTGCAGACCTCCACTCGTGTAATGTAATTTTCTTCCTCGAAGCCAAGAAGCACGGGCAGGACCTCTACCTCTGGATCTCGCGACCACCAAATGGCCCCACCATAAAATTCTCCGTAAGCAATCTTCACACCATGGGCGAGATGGGGACCGGGTTTGCCGGCAATTGCCTCAAAGGCGGACGTGGAGTAGTTGTTTTTGATAAGACGTTCGACGAGGCGGCTGTGGTGCGGAGTGGGAACGAGTACAGAGGCCTCATAAGGGAAATGCTGCGGAGTGTGTTCAGTGTACCGAGACGTGGGGTGCGGGGTATGAAGCCGTTTATAGATCGGATCATTGGCGTGTTTGGTGTTGACGGGAAGATCTGGATACGAGTGTTTGAAATTCGCGAGTCGGAGGGTGGGGGCGTAGGGTCAATAAAAGCGGCGGGCGACGAAGTGGAGCAAGATAATGCAGAGATACCAAAGCACAAACCCAAACGAGTTGGCAAGGGTAGCGCACCTGATATCACCTTGGTCGAGATCGGCCCGCGCTTCGTACTGACACCCATTGTGATACTGGAGGGGAGTTTCGGTGGGCCGGTAATTTATGAGAATAAAGAATTCGTCAGCCCCAATCAGGTGCGACGAGAGATACGCCTCCGGAAAGCATCGCGGTTTGCGACAAGGCAGGTTGGGGTGACTGATAGAACTATCAAGAGGAGTGGGTTAGGGCTCACGACGGAAGGGAGGGGAAATAGGAGGCGAGATCCGTTGGAGACGAAGGAGGTGTTTGGATGATTTATAAATTAGTCTGGGACAATGTTCTTGTCTAGTTCTAAGTTATTGGGTTTCTTTTGTTGGACATTTCCTAGCATCAAATTCAAGATTCTATTAACTCTGCAGCTCCGGGAACACTGTATGCCACTCAACTTTGCAGCCAGGGCCAATAACATAGTATATATGTATACAACATTTACCCCTGATTACCGCGAGCGTGTTTCCAGACATTCAGGTAAACTCAGCTATAACTTTGCAACATCCAACATCAGAGCACAGTACTGAGAAATTATTGTGCGCAGATACATTCAACCGCGAATTCAAAGTTCCAACTGCAACTCATTCATCCAACCCGTCTTAGATGAGAGGTATAGCCTGCTGCAGATTCTGGAGCTGTTCACAAACAAATCCCTCCACAATCGGCTCCCCCTTTCTTTGGATCACATTTATCCCTTGGGTCATCGTAGCATTTCTTCCCTTCGGGGCACGCGATACCAGCAATCCCGCCGCAGAACTCAGGCTTGATGCAGATGCCAGGAATATCACAAGCCATACCACAGCCAGGCTTTCGTGGGTCGTCGATGCAGATAAGGCCCCGGTGGCAAGGTTTGGGTTTTACGACATAGCCGCCGCAAGGCCGATATTGTTGCGGTGTGATGCGGGCTGCGGAAACAATAGTAATGAGGAAGGTCAAAATGTTGAGGGGGGTCATCTTTCGGTGTTCTTTTGATGCTTTAATTTTTTATAGCCGGAACCGCTTTGTATAGAAAAGCGACAGATTGTAAAGTGGATTATGCGGTGAAATTAAATGGTCAAATTGATGAAGCTTGTTCAATCATCCAGGAAACAGACGCTGGACTGAGGGGGAACCTGAAAAATGCTCAAATGTCAGAGTTGAATTGAGAGAGGAGGATATAGCTGGGGCCATCTCATGGGTATATATTTCTCAGAATAGTTTCATACACAGCCCAGTTCATCTTTGAAAAATTGTAATTCATGTGCTAATAGACTCGCATTAATGCCCGCTAAAGCAAGATATTGGATCACATTTGAAACTGTGGAGGATTACTAGCATACTCCTTGCCGATGGCTGCACCAGTCAGTTGGTTGAAAGTAAAATATTCAACTTCCCCATAGCTCGCCATTCGTCCCACGTCCTGCGACTTCAATCTCAACGGGCTAGCCGAAATGATATGGACTCCTAGGGAGGGTATTGGTCTTCAGCTCCAAATTCAAGAATCGTATGCTCCGTCCAACAGGGTCTAGGCGAACCAGGTCACCAGGGTGGATATAAAAAAGGCTTTTACCGCATCAGCGGATGCCTCTATATGCTTCAAGATGCATCCCCAACCGACAGGTCAAACTGTCCAACGAGATCTCATGAATAATGACAGAATACGCGCAGAATGTAGTGGGACACTCCCCGGACAGGCCGTAGGCTGGAAGAGAAGGAAAAAATCCAATGAGATGCCAAACCATTGGAGACAGTCGCGGCGGCGGCTGAAAGATAACACATCAACTTGCATCAATTCGTGAAAATGATGGCATGTTACTGGACCTGTTTTCTTACAGACTGGACTGGCCTCAGCCTTGCAAATAGTCAATCAAGAATGTGAAGACAGCACAGCAAAAAGAAAAGAAAAAGCGAAATACGAACAAGCTGCAGTGTATTTTCTTTTTCTCATGTCTTGCCCAACCAGGCACGATTTGCTTTCTTGAAACCAGATTCTGTAGAAAGACCGTATATATTTTTGGTGGAAAAGTTAGGATATATGCAAACATTTAGCTATTGGATTAAATGCGATCCGCAGATTAGCATTCCAACCCAGAGCAAACCAGTCGAAAGAAGCCTCCTACCAACCTCGAATTTTGACGCCGCGAGGTGATATTGTGGTAGGAAATTAAGTGAAGAAATACGACCATCTGTTGTTCGCAAGAGGTGATATTTATATAGGGGACGACGGGAATAGACTTAGCTCTGGATATCAGGTGAGCACGCCTCGATAAATCTGCGATTTGCATTCTGAAGAATTAGTTAACCAGATAAAATGCAAAACACAATGGTAGTTAGCTTACAGCCTCTGTCGGATCACTTGTGAGACGGCTATATAGCACCAATTGCGCTTCAAATAAGTAGAGGGAGAGCCACAGAACTCTTATTGTGAATATCTATGGAACTTTCCGTTTGTCCAAATTTATCCTTCAAATAAATCCTGGCGCAGGACCCTTGTCAACATAGCATATCTCAGGAATACTCTTCTGATATTATAGAAAAAGCAGCTTAAGCGCTGGGGTTTTTGGTTAACGTTCAATGTACACTACCTATTGAAGCAGCATTTCCCTCCATCCGGAGTCGCTGAACATCAACGATGATAGTGTCAACGGTGGGCCGACATCTCCAATCCTATTTAATCTCCTATGGGTTAAAATAGATGTCGTGCATATTCTGTATCTTTTCATCAGTTGTATCGGACAAAACATAAGGATAGAGAGATAGCAGAGCACGGGATCTTTACATGTAGTTTATTCTAAACGCAACGACATGAGTTCCAATGATTTAACAGGGCAAAGGAGTCGAGATATGAAACTTCGATATATAACGCGTCAGGGAATGCCGATATCAATTGAGCACATGTCGCAGAAAACATTTAAAAATCTGGCTCATATATCCTTTTTCCCCGAGCCTCCACCCTTCCACCGCTCATCTCCCCGATCTCCTTTCTTCTTAGATAAGCCCACTACACCTTCAACTCCAATCCATACAAACCAAGAGATAACCCAGGACACCACAGCAAGAATAATAATGTACGCGGCAGTAGGCAACAACGATCTCGGAAACACATTAAAAATGAAAGGGTCGAGAATGATATCAACATGCACTGGGGGCACATTCTCCATTAGACCCTTGTCTACTGTGAAGTAATCAGCGGCGGCATGGACTTGCAGAAATAAGGCGGAGGTGGGAGTTCTGTTACGAGCGTTCCGGCTTCCCGAGCTGCCGAGTTTGGGCGGGAGGGCGAAAGGGTTGTTGGATTGGTGCTCGTGGCTTTGTTGGTAGTCTCGGTGAAGTCGTTCGAGGAGGGTTGGGAAGTGTGATGTTGCGAATGTTGTTAGACTGGAGATTAGGTAGGGCGAGTCAAGGATTTCGGAAACGCTGAGGGTTGTAACAGTGAATGATGTTGGTTGCTTGAGTTCGATTCAAATTTTCAGTTTTAGTTGTTGGTTCATGAGCTCGAGGTGATTGAGGGGTTTGTAGGAACGAAAGGAACAAGGTCGATATATCTTATCTATATATCTATATATATTGCATATATATCTCAAATGACTTACAGTTGCGAGGTAGCAAATGCGAACCTCATATCGCTGACCAGGTTTCAAAGAATCCAGGTAAAACCAGCTTTCAAACCCTTTGGGAGACTCTTCCGACGGAAATGAAGCTGCAATATATGTTCTGGTGGATGGAGTCTTTGGAGATAATCGCTCTATCTCCAAGTCATCGAACATGGCCTGATGTGATTGCAGCAAGCTAGGTTTGGGTGCCTTGAATATGGTCTTCTCCACATTGGCAGAAACAGTAATGACCAGAAAAAGAAGTGGGCCCAAGCAAAGAAGTGACCTCATGGCTTTTTGGAGGATCACGAATGACGCTCAGATGTCGAGCTCATAAACACCTGGATCTTGATAGATTGTAGTTCAAGAAGGAGACAACAAATCATTCTGCCATTTCCGGATGATACGAGCAGCTTTGGTGCCCTGCGAAGCATAGTTAGCCAGCGAAGCATAGGTACTGGAGTGTTAAAAAAAGCCTAGCTAACGAGGCAGTCACTGGAAATATGAAAAATAAGCCAGCAAAAAAAAAATAAAATAAAATAAAATAAAATAAAATAAAACAAAATAAAATAATATCAATGAAAAAAATGGGGTTTCAAATATTGATCATTAATTTGTTGAGAGGCACTCCATACAAAAAAGAAAAGGAGGATTCAGGTCATTAAATCCAGAATAATGGGATTATATCGACAACGACGGTCAATAATCCATATAGCAAAGACTTCGTATTCTAGAAGATCGACGAATCTCTCACCGTGCAGTGCAATAGGAGAGAATACGACCATGAGGGATGTTTTGTGTGGATCATTTATCAGTGGCGCTTGAGCAGAGACAGCTGCAAGAGAATGAAAACTAAGTAGTACATACCATTAACTTACAACCACATCATTCTCGAAAAGTATTTGAGAGAAGCTTTTGATGAAAATCTTGCCCGATCCCTGTCAGAGTAAGATAGTAAGACTGAGAGATGGAGTTGATGTATGAGAGATCACACGTCCTGCACGATATATCACATGAAGTTCTTCAAAATGTGGATGACTAATCAATGTTCCAAGGGACATGGCGCTTTGAATACCATCTATATAGAACCGCATGAAGTGGGTTCAACTCGCCCTGTGAACTCAATACTGTATGTATCTTGCTTCACTCGCACAGTTTGAAGGCGTTGACTTTAGTCGAGTAGGGTCTCGACATCCAAAAGTTTAGTTTCGGTGGGTATGTGCTTCTATGGTCAAAAACTATTCCAATGCGGCGACTGGACACGGGGGAAGTTCTCCGCCCACTGTAATTATCGACATCGGGTGGGTGAAACCTGTGGGCTGAAACACGTTAGCCACACCGAATTTAATCAAGAGCTGTGCGCACTCTGCATCACAATTGCGACTAAACGCCGAAGGAGGGACTTTGAACTTCAACGTTTAGCACGGTGGTACAGCAATGGTGGCAGGATGAAAGCATCTATAGAAAATCTGAAGCCATGGTTAGACATCTAGAGGAAGCGATTCTGAGCTTGGAAAGGAGAAAGTCTTTGAAGCCAACCCACTACGACTACACTGACTACGAAAGGTCATTCTTGTCAATTAATGGGGTTTGGTCTCATTGTGCTGAAGCACTGAGCTTCCTTACGCTTCTTATCACAAGCTCGATGTATACAGTACCACCTTGAAGCCTCAGCGCAACTTGGCGCTTTTCTCTTGCCCTGTTCCATTGCTAAATAAGAAAGTCATGAATGACAGCCTGACTCCATTTGGCTTGAAATAAAAAGGGCAAACTGGACAACGGATGAAGAGGTTGCTCTTCCGCTCTGAGCACGACGATCGCTACGAACCTCCTGGCATTAAAGCCTGAAAGTCGCAAGGGTAGATCTTGAATGCCCCCAAATAAAGCATTCCCATTATTTACTTGTACATCTTTATAGTATTGTAAGATCTATAACAGTGTAGCCAGGTTCCACTGTCGATTCTTTGGTGATCGACTGGTCATTGTAGGCACACGGAGGGCTAACACTTTCTACTACAGGGGGAAGAATTTGTTATTCGACACCTTGAAGCCAAGGGTGTTTGACAACCTGGCCAGCAGAAAGACGTTTCTCCGGCGAAAACTGAAGAAGTTTAAACAGCAAATCCTCAAGCTCACTGGCCTCAGCTTCTGTCAAGCGCGTCCCCGGCGTTCGATCTCTCCGCTCTAAGAATTTTAAGGGATACAAGTTGTTGCGATAGTTCGTCCCGGGCCAACTATACAGTTGAGCTTCCCCCAAAGCCTAATTTGTGCAGCACGCGGTATCTTCCGTGAGAAAAAGTATCGCCAAGTCGGACAGGGTGAAATCCACCCTTTTGATAGTTCTCAACATCCTCAATATTATCGATGGAGGGTTGATACGCCAATTAAGCAGTACTCATATTGCGAGTAATGAATATCTAGAATAATTTAGTGAATATTCGGGGCGAGGCGTTCAACAGCTAACATGTGTGAACGAACTGGAAACGAATCGAATGTGATGAGGGCACGATCATGATGAAGAAGAAGAGCTCGTAGCTCCAAGACACGGAAGGTATTAACTAGTGCCCAGTATTGACGAACTGGTTGCAGAAGCCACAAAACAAAACAGGATGGATCTCTCTACGATGAACAGAATATGAAAGTTTCTGTTGCAGAGGCTGGATTGCGTGGTTCGTCCCTTTGACCACCAGCTGGCTCTGCGTCGATTTATTGATGCAACACTGGGAAATGCCAACACCACCACGTGAGCTGTCAACTTGTTAGGGGGTACTAGTTGTTGGGGGGATTGGATTGGGTGATTCGTACCCTCTATACCACCACGGCGCTGGTGGTGATTGAGCTCTTTTGCCCTAGTGGCCTAATACTAGTGGACGGCTACCCCTATCACGTGCCCCCCAACATATTGTATTGCTCTCGCGTAGTTAGTTTGGTAATAACAGCCAACGTTATCCTCCTACACAACTGTTCTGGGTAACCTTGGAACCTTTTCAAAACAAACCAAATACCGCGTACTATTGGAAAACAACACACGAACCACAGTGACAATACCGTAATCCTTCATGGTGATTGGCCAGAAGCTTGCTGTCCAGCCAACCCCGTGCGTTCCCCGGACTCTGGCTTCCGTTACAGGATACAATGCCATACAGAGTACACCCACGTTACGCCACCCACTTGCCCAACAAGACGAACCTCGAGGTCTATTTATTCCTTGGTCCCCTATGTCAATCCGCATCTTGCTTCAACGTTAGTTAACTATCAACACTAAACTTGCTTGGGTAATTCCCCTATCTAACTGCTCTAACCGTCATTCTGCTTTCTTTGTGTAAGATAGGTTAGGCTCTAACCAGAAGTGCAGCAGCTCCAGGTTTTGTTTGTGTCCGAGCTTCGCGAACTCCCCCCGATCTTACGTTGTGCCTCATCTCTCCACCCAATCCTCACCACCTAAACATTACTCGCCAAAGCCTCCACCACAGCCATCCACCATGAGAGAGGTAGTTAGCTTGAACGGTACGATGGCCTCATTCCCTATTTCGACTCCCAGTTTATCGCTGTACCGTCCTTGCTGATGATGAAGTTGCTGTAAACAGTCGGTCAGGCGGGTTGCCAAATCGCAAACTCCTGCTGGGAGGTATGACTTAATCCTATCCGGGAACTATTGTTTCCCATATAGCTCCATTACGACAGCCAATATAGATTTCTATTAATGCTAATGGCTTGGATTTACCTTTTATACAGTTGTATTGTCTGGAACATGGCATTCAGGTGAATATATATCCCTAACCGGTCGATGGGATTCTATGCGGCCTATTTATTCCACCTGCACCCTAACGCACACTCGAGATTTGAGTCCAATTTGACTAACTGTTCCTCCACGGCAGCCCGACGGATACCTGACTGAGGAACGGAAAGCTGCCGACCCTGATCAAGGATTTAATACATTTTTTTCTGAAACAGGTGCTACTCTTTTTCCCATAATGCAGATATATACACACATCATTCTTTAACTGTGTTTTGAAAACTTACCCAAGCTTCTCTCTTCCCATCTCTAGGCCAGGGTAAATACGTTCCCCGAACCATCTACTGCGATCTTGAGCCAAATGTCGTGGACGAAGTCCGCACCGGACCATATCGTGCGCTTTTCCACCCAGAACAGATGATCACTGGAAAGGAGGATGCATCCAATAATTACGCTCGTGGTCATTATACCGTGGGTAAGGAGATGATCGACCAAGTCCTTGACAAAGTCCGCCGGGTGGCAGATAACTGCAGCGGTCTCCAGGGCTTTTTGGTGTTCCATTCCTTTGGAGGCGGCACGGGATCCGGCTTCGGTGCACTTCTGATGGAGCGTCTGTCCGTGGACTACGGCAAAAAGACAAAGCTAGAATTTTGTGTCTACCCTGCGCCCCAGAATGCCACTTCAGTTGTCGAACCTTACAACTCGATTCTCACAACGCATACCACCCTAGAACATTCTGATTGCAGTTTTATGGTGGACAATGAAGCAATCTACGACATCTGCCGCCGGAACTTGGGTATCGAGAGACCAAGTTATGAAAACTTGAATCGCCTCATGGCTCAAGGTCAGTCTCCCAATATACATGCTCTATCAAGTTTTGCCGAGTAATTAAACCAGAAAATATAGTCGTTTCCTCAATTACTGCTTCTCTCCGATTTGACGGCTCCTTGAACGTTGATCTGAACGAGTTCCAGACCAACTTGGTACCCTATCCCCGGATCCACTTTCCGCTAGTTGCGTTCTCCCCGGTCGTATCTGCGGCAAAGGCGTCCCATGAATCCAACTCTGTCATGGAGGTAACTATGTCCTGTTTCGAGCCTAATAACCAGATGGTCAAGTGCGATCCTCGTAACGGCAAATACATGGCAACCTGTCTGCTGTACCGTGGAGATGTCGTGCCCAAGGATGTTCATGGTGCCGTGGCGACACTGAAAACGAAGCGTACCGTCCAGTTCGTTGACTGGTGCCCTACTGGTTTCAAGATTGGTATCTGTTACCAGCCTCCCCAAATGGTGCCTAATGGCGACCTTGCAAAAGTCAACCGCGCTGTGTAAGTTTATCCCGAACATGTTGCAGGAGCAAACAACATAGATTTGCAACAGAGGCTAATATAATCTATTATGTAGTTGCATGTTATCCAACACCACCGCCATCTCCGAAGCCTGGACGGCACTTTCTCACAAATTCGACCTCATGTATTCTAAGCGCGCATTCGTCCACTGGTATGTGGGTGAGGGCATGGAAGAGGGTGAATTCTCCGAGGCTCGCGAGGACCTTGCAGCGTTGGAACGGGACTATGAGGAAGTTGCCAGCGATTCTCTGGAAGAGGAGGTTGAGCCCGAATATTAAACATATTACCTTGATATGTGACGATGGCTTGCTCTTGTGTGTAACGTGGCTGTTGTTTAATATACCCCTCACCTCTGACTTCCCGAAACGCAGAATCGACGACTTCCTCTAGAAGTTCCATTCCATCCATTCCCAACAAAATTTCGTTCCTTCCAAAATATTTTCCGGGGCGAATTGCCTTCTCCCGTTTTAGCACGCTGTAGAGCTGAAGAAGCCAACTGGACTGGGGTTTCCTGCCAATATCGGGCATGGACAGACGGATAATGCCTAGCTTATAAAATTATTCTGTCCTGCTTTAGACATTTTTTGGCCCTTTTGCTCGAGCGGCCCCGAGATTTTAAATATACCAAAGGAGTTCCTGACCGATACCCTTCAGTGCAGGCATACAGACTCACGCTGACGTCCCGACAAGACTATTCTATATGTTCCAACGCAACCCCATCTCTTTTAAGCATGATCTCAAGGACCAAAAAGCATAGGGACAGATATATCGCTCATCTCAGCGAAGCCGAGGTTAGGACTGCGCTGGCCAGGCTTTTGTCAATAATAAATTCCCCCTTTTTATATAGGTATCTACACTACTTTACATACTAATAATTAGCCCTTTTTTTTTAATCCCATTTTAAATCAAATATCAAAGTCCAAAAGTCCAAAATGAGGTGCATTCGTAATGGAAAATTATGTAATATTGGTATGGACCATCAATCGTTAGTTACCATGAATTACGGGTATAGTCAGCCAAATACAGCCATTTATATGCCGAAATTGGCAACGTGCTAGTAACGATACGGGGCCGCGAAAACATTGCCTCATTGCTTACAGTACGTCCAACGCTTGAAGCACGACGATCCTCCATCTACTTCCCTCGCTGGGGATTCGCAGGAGATATCAACAATCACAATCCGATGCTCCATTTCCATCGGTGAGCCGACACGGTGTAATCTTCTTGCTTTATCATTGTGTTTGTTTTTGTCATTGCGCTCGTCCATCCATCTCAACCACCACCCTCCATCCATCAAGTCCCGGGTGTTTCTCAACCCCCTGATTCGCATTACGCGGTCCGAGTTATTTTTATGTCATCCATCAATTCTGCGGCCTAGCGTGGGCTCTACTTCTCAAGTTGCTTATACGAAAATAAATCTTTTCAGCGGCGAAAAAGAGACGCGCGGAAACATATTGTTTATGGGAGAGAAGGCAGCTGAGGGGGCCTGATTTGGACACATCATGGCGGACGGAGGTGAGATCCCATAATGTCCCTTCATATATACTTCTGCGAGTATAGACGTTGTGTTGTTGGCACAGAGCAGTCCGTAGTTATATCTGCAGCCAACATCTTACATCCGGCGTTTCCTACAGCGTTACTGACGAATCTCCTCATTATTCGCGTATCTATTTCGTTTAGGCCACCCGAACCTTAACCTAACGCCGGAGGAGAAGCGTGTATTTTATAAACTGTTCCAGGCTGCAGATAAGACTAATCTGGGCGTTGTCACTGGCGAAGTCGCGGTTTCTTTCTTCGAGAAGACCAGTCTTCCCCCGGAGACGCTGGGTCTGGTAAGTTTTTCTATGACAGCAGCACTACTTATAGACCTTGGCGACTGAATACCTTTGGGGCGTTTGTTGACTGGAGGGATGTAGATATGGCAAATTGCGGATACACAGAATCGTGGACTTCTTACCCCGTCGGGGTTTGGAGTGGTTATGAGATTGATCGGCCATGCCCAAGCGGGTCGCGCCCCGACGGAAGAGTTGGCTTTGCAGCGTAAGAAGCCTCCCTATTCCCCTTCCCCATTTCGTTTTCAGAATGAATCATCGCGGCTTAAACTTATCTGCTCTGAGGCTTACTTTACTTCGCACAATTCAGCCGGGCCCCTGCCAAAATTTTCGGGTTTGAGCAAAAATATTACCGAGCCAACTCCCCAAGCGCTGCCTGTCGCATCGAGTCCTACTCCCGGAAACGGCCCAGTGAGAGTCCCACCGCTAGTTCCTGATGATATTGCCAAATTCGCCTCCTTATTCGAGAGGTCAGAAGTCCAGAATGGACTCCTCTCAGGTATATTCTTTCCGAAATCTACTCTGGTTAGATTATACCAAAAACAGAAGCTGATAACATAACGCGCAACTACAGGTGAAAATGCCAAACAGATATTCGAACGAGCGCGATTGCCAAACGAAATTTTGGGTAGAATTTGGAATTTGGCTGATACAAAACAACGAGGCGCGTTGGATACGACGGAATTTATCATCGCCATGCATTTGCTAAGCGCGTACAGGAATGGTACGATGAGGGTGCTACCACAAACCCTGCCTCCGGGTTTGTACGAGGCGGCCGCTCGACGTGGAGGGGTCCGCACATCGACCGGCTCGCGGTCATCTTCGGATATACCTCCAGTACCCGCAATTCCCAAGCAGTTCAGTGGGTCAGGACCCCAACGAGCTCAGAGCCCACTCAATCGGCCACCTCAGTTCCAGTCAACCATCCCTTCACAGCCCACTGGCGGCGACTGGACGATAACCCCTCAAGAAAAAGCTCACTTTGATACCGTGTTCGCCACTGTTGATACAGCGAACGTGGGATACATCACCGGTGATCAGGCGGTTGAATTCTTCAGTAATGCGCAGTTGCCGGAGGAAACGTTAGCTTCTATTTGGGATTTGGCGGATATCGATTCCGACGGGCAGCTGAGCAAAGATGAATTTGCTGTTGCGATGTACCTTGTTCGACAGCAGCGCACTACCCGAGAAGCCTTACCGCATGCGCTACCCCCAGTCTTGATTCCACCAAGCATGCGACGTCAGCTTCAACCGCCAGCTCCGGCTGCTCAAATTGTCCCCCAGAATACAGCCCAACGATCAGCGGCGGAGGATTTATTTGGACTCGATGTCTTTGGGCCCCCAGTTCAAGTGGCACAAACTACAGGTGGCTCCAATCCTTCTATCCAGCCCCCTTCGTCACCCACTCGGCCGCCGCTTAGTGCGAGTGCGACGTCAACATTCAAACCATTCGTACCTTCGTCAAGTTTTGGGCAGAGCCTTACCCCACATTCGACCGGCTTGTCAAACGCACCCGCCCAGCAACGATCGCTACCACCACCATCTGCGGACGATCTGTTGGCAGATGTGGATGCTGAAGCCAGCAAGAAGGTATCCCAAGAGTCTGTAGACTTAGCCAATCTCTCGAATCAGATCGGCAGTCTGTCACGAGAGATGCAGAACGTGCAAGGGAAACGTGCAGCTGCTGAACACGATTTGACGCAGAACAGCCACCAGAAGAAGGATTTCGAGACGCGCCTAGCGCAGGCAAGGACAATGTATGAGCAGGAAGCGAAGGATTTCAAGGCTCTAGAAGAACGATTAGCAGCGCTTCGCGCCGAGACAAGGAAGCTCCAGCAAGATTTTGCCCTCGTCGAGGCCAGTCGCCAGGATCTTCAAAACCAGTATAACCAAGTGAATGCTGCGCTAGACGCCGACCAACGCGAAAATGCTAACCTGAAGGAACAAATCAGGCAGGCTAACGCACAAGTCAGTCAATTGAAACCGCTTCTGGACAAGGCTCGCTCTGCAGCTCGTCAACAGAAGGGCCTAGTAGCTATTAACAAGAAACAGCTCGCGACTGTTGAAGGTGAACGGGATCGAATCCAGGGTGAAATCGATACCACCACTAAAGAGGTAGATGACTTGCGGCGTCAGGCATCTGAGGAATCGTCTCCTGCTTCTCAATACCCATCTGTCACGAGCCCGGCACCTTCAACTGCCAGCCAAACAAACCCCTTCTTCCGACGAACCGCAAGCGTATCCGACAACACACGTTCCCCTCCGCCGCCACCATCATCTCAAGAACCCACCAAGGATGCTCAGAGCGTGTTTGACAATGTTTTTGGGACGTCCTTTACCGTGCCTTCGGCCTCCACCTCACCACCCCCGACAACTTTCCGAACTGAGTCTCCAGCTCAGCAAGCCTCACCAGCGATGGCTGATCCCCCAAAGACATCTGATACGTCCGGCACAATGACCCCATCTGCATCTCCCATCTCAACTGAACATCCCCCTCCCCCACAATCTCGGCAGCTATCATCCAGTCAACTTCCTATTGAGGGACACCAAGCATCTGAGGCTTCTTCTGTAAGGCCATCCCCGCCTGCTAGCCGCTTTGGGACTTCGGTAACCTCAGAGCCTGGGACAAGCCCGCCAGGGAAATCCCCCTTTGAGAATGAGGAGCCGAAGCCAGACACGAAACTGGAAACATCGCCCAACGATTCCGAAAACAGCACAAGCCAAACCGGACAAGAACCTGGGGTGTCCAATACCCCCGGCTTCTTCCCCGCAGATTCGGCGCAAGCTGAATCTACCAAGAAGGATATCAGTTTTGACGAGTTATTTGGCGGCATCACGCATGCTCGGTCCCCATCTCAAAAAGCCAACGACTTTGAAGAGGCCTTTGCGGCTATGAAATTGAAAAATGGGAATGGTGACTCTGGGTTCCCTGAAGTAGCCGATGAAAAGTCAAAGGCAGTACCCAGCGAGTTCCCTCCGATTCGAGAGCTTGATGACGAGGAGGATAGCACAGATAGCGAAGCTGCCAAGGGATTCGACGATGACTTCTCTCCCGTCTCACCTCCACGAAAAAATGAGCAAACTTCCCCGGACATTGTCTCACCTCAGACGTCCGCACCTCCGTCGACGCAGAGTACATCGATGCCGGGGATGAATGGCCAGGAGCCTTCCAAGGAAACATCCCAAGTAACAGCCACTACATCTAATGGGTTGGCACATGTTGACAAGAACGGCACCGGAGCCTCCCAACCAGCGCTGCCAGGTAAGAAGCCCACCTCACCTGACTTCGAAGCTGCATTTGCCGGTTTGGAACTTGCGCCCGCGAAAGAAGCAGACGATGATGACGATGACGATGACGACGACGATGACGACTTTGAATCGCCATTCAACAAAGATTCGTCGAACTTCGACATGACATTCGACTCACCCGGCGCACAGTCTAAGTCCAGCACAATTGCCCACGCCAATACCGGCACAAGTTCCGGCAACAACACAACAAACGCGGATGTTTTCACCTTCAGTAACAATCAACAACAACACCAACCACAATCAAAGTCTCCCTTCGTGCAGCAGACACCTGGTTCCACAGGTCCAGCGATCTCTCCCGGAACAGTTTCCCAGGATTGGGACGCCCTCTTTTCCGTCCTGGACACCTCGAAAGCCTCCCAATCTGCGAACGAAACGAACAAACCCGCCTCATCCAGTGAAGACCAGCCACCATCTGATTCCGCAGCCCTCTCCTCCTTTCCACAACCACCAGGCAAGAAGTCCAATCCTCCCGGATGGGCTCTGAATTCTCCTACGGGCGAAGATGATATGATATTGCAGCGGTTGACAGGGATGGGATATCCACGGGACGAGTCGTTGGCGGCGCTGGAGAAATTTAATTATAATATTGATAGGGTGGGTTGACAACAATAACAACAACAACCATGCCCTTTCCATCCCTACATTATTCTCTAAATTGGTGCTTTTACTCCTTTCCACATAAAAACACACCGCTGGATACATGGCTAAGTGTGGCTTTTCCGACGATATAGGCTGCCGATTTCCTCGCGTCGAAGTCATAAGTGTTGATGCGCATGTCCATGAATCCGACCTCATTGCCTGGCAAATTAGGTCGGCGTCTCGATTTGGATTGAGATTGAGATTACGTTCTCATTTAGCTAGACGTTTATTATCATGTTGATCATCGGGGCCAGCTGCGAAGGAAGCAACCTCGGAAATGGAGATGCGCAGAAGAGGATGTTGGGGAGAGATAGATCCTTTATTGAAGATATGCTGTCTGATGTGTAATAAATATAGTAATTTTTATTGAGTTGATTATTGTTATGGAGGTAAGAGAAGAAGAAAGAATGTCTCCCCACCCACCGCACGAATTAACCAACACAATCCAAAAGCCTATCTATCCTTTTTTGACTTTCTTTTTCTACTCTGTATTATTGTGTAGGGAAATAGTAGTCATATCATCAACTCCAACCATGGAAAGAGATTCGTATTGTTTTCTGCTTCAAGGACCATTAAAAGAAATAAGGTAGGATTAATAAATACGTAAAAAATAACCTTTCCATGGCATACAAACCTGTTATGTGGGTATTCGAAGAGGGGAGTAGCGCATTAATTTTTCCCAATACCTTCATCATCACTGTACAGCCTTGCACGACTACTGTACTTATGGGATCATTGAAAGGGTCTTCACATGGCTGTCTTGCTGTGCACATAAAGCACGTGTGTGGGTAGACAAGACGACACTGCAATGGATGTGAACAGGAAGAGCTGGTACGTGGAAATACAGCAGCACGTTTCAAGAGGAAGATGGTAAAGAAAAACAAGATAAAATAAAATAAATAAAATAGAGAGTAGCTCAATTCGATCAGCTATACGCTATACCGCCAGATGATAAGTATCAGTTTGCTTTTTCATCGAAACACATCTCCCCCTTATTCCACTATAAAAACCCCCGATTAACTCAACAAACGCACTATAGTAGTGGGCGCACAATGCAGTAAAGAGCAGAGAGCAGGAGCACAAAAAGCGCCATCCAGGGGATGGCTGTATATACTGGTACATATGATATTAACAGCCTCACCCCCACCGGCCTCTTGTGAACATCGAGCAAGTAACTTGCTACGATGTGATTGGAATGCCTTTTCCCTTCATTACTCCCTCCTCTTTCCTCCGTTTGATCTCCCGAGCCTTGGAGTAAATATATGGATATATGTTAAGTCACCACACAAAACCGAACAAAGCAGATGACGAGAGTGCGCGAGGGAGAGAAGGATGATGGCCAATGTAAGCATTATCATGTAGGGGGCATTTTTTGGTGGCGCGCAACGAGATAAACATATATGTAGTTGATGGAAGAAAGAACGCCATCACAGGAGTTGAGAGATAGAGAGGCAAACTAGATTGCACAGCACTAAGTTGAGCTGCACTGAACTGAAACTGAACTGATGGAGCAGCAAGTAGGCATGAAACATAACCGGGGTATCGAGAAGAGGGGAAAAAAAGGAAGCATAGATGTAAAATATGGTTGTTTTTTTTTTTTTCCTTTCCCCCCCCCCCCTCCTTTAATGTTTTCTGTTCACCCATATTCAGTTTTCACATCCACATCCACCATATTCATAAATTACCCTCAATTTCCACAGCACAGCACCCACACCAATTAGCGATCGCGATGTCTAGGCCAAAAAAGACGGTAATTTTCTTCAACATCTCCGTCAAGGTGGACAAGGTCCAAGGGAAGAAAAGAAAGAAAAAAAATTAAATTACGCGAAGTGGGGAATCAAGACCAGCGAAATACGGGTCCAAAGGTGGAGTTTCGACAGAGTGCAAAAAAAAAAAAAAAAAAAAAAAAAAGAAAATCAAAAACAAAAATCCAAAATGGCAAAGCAGAAAGGAAAAGTCAAGACCGAAAATTGAATTTTCTATACGTCGGGATGCGCTTGCATGTCGACGGCAGGTTCGGGCTTGGGGGTGCTATCTCCACCACCTCGCATCAGGGGAAGGACAACGACGAGGACAGTCGTGGCGACAAAGAGGAGCCTAGAGTATGTTGATGTCAGCCAGATAAAATAATAAATAATAAACCCAGGAATAGAAATAGAAGTAGAAGTAGAAATAAATAAAACGAACCATTCAAATGCGCCAAAGACCGTCGCGGCCTGCAGGCCCTTGCAGACGGAGGAACGACTGCAAGCCGCGGACGGGGGCAGTATAGCCGCGACGGCGATGAAACCGGCAAACCAGAACAGCAGCGTGATGGCCTCGACGGCGATGAGGGCGTACTTGTGGGCGAACTGTTGCAGATAGAGCGGCGAGAGCACGAGGAAGGGGACGGCGACGAGGAACGTCCAAATAGCGTCGAAGAGGAGGAAGTTGGTCTCGTCGGAGTAGCCCTGGGTGCGGTTGACAGCTGGGAGGAGTTAGTTAGTGATGGTGTTTAGGAAACTAAGTATAACGTTCTGGCATGAGGCAGCGGTGTGGTGAACATAGATAGTAAGATGGAATAGATCTTGTTTAACATACCCCATCCAGTCAGGCCGAGGATGATGATGGCCAGGACGACCTGGACGCCTCGCAGGCCCACCACGATATTCTGCATGGCGACGTTGATGACCTGTATTCTTGTGGATGGGTGATCGATTTCGCGATCGGATTTTTCCCGATCGATCTTGAATAGTGGCCGAGCGGAAGATTTGGTGGTGTGTAAGGCTGAACGACCGACCTACCGACCAAGCGAACGGGCGGACGAACGAACGTATGAACGGAGGGATGGATGGATGGATGGACGAGAATAGGTGCAGAAATGCCAAAAACTCGGAAATACGAGGCGGACGGGAGGGGTTTTAAAGAAGAACGACGAAACCTGGCTGGGTGGTCGAAGCCTGGTGATTCACAACTGGACGGACGATCGTGATGGGATGGGATGGGCGCCCGTCAGGAATTAAAGGGAGCAGAAACGGTCAGGATAAGCTCCAGGGCCAGGATCCGGCAGGGGATTAGAGTTGGCTGGTACTTTTTCGTTGCGACTAGTTCTGTCGCTGGGCAGGCGATGACGTGGGGAGCAGTGGATGGCGTTGAGAAGATGAGGATATTGAAGACTTCCTGGGTACGAGGGCAGAGGGCAGAGCAGGCTACTCGCTAGCTCGCGGCACGTTGACATTCTTATCCCAGGATAACCTTTCACAATGGTTCAAACCAAACGCAAAGAAAAAGCAAAGGCACCAAGCCCGCAGCGTGCTCGCCCTCGTATCGCATCATCGAGACGTGCTCGCCAAGTCACTGCCACCACAATTCCGCAGCAACAATACCGCCGAATGACAACGATGCTGGGTTCTGCCGCAACAAGCCTACGGAGTACTGATCACAAAATAATGTACTAGGATATGGTCCCAAAACTCCATCCTGAGGCGAGAATTCGACATCAAGAATTGGACGCCTGCATCTCATTGGAACCCTCCGCTGGAAAGTGCGCCACCATGAACCCATCGACTCTAACGAGATAAAACCCCAACTAGTCCCGAACCTAGGCAGGAAAAGTGCTGGTTCGACCGGGGAGGTATCGCCCGATGTTCTGCTTGGGGTTAGTTTCAGCCAGGAAAAAGAATCGGCAGGATAGAGTGCGACAAATCAGGATCAAGCATGCCGCCGACAAGCTGCAGCTGACAGCTTGAGGGCAAGTTACGGATACACACGCACATCTTAGCGTGCATGTATACTCTCCACATCTCCTGTGCGCTGCGGCGCGGCTTTGTCTCGCACGGTCGAAACGATGCAGAGACCCAGGGATAGCGGCGGCTGGAGCAAGGATCGTTCACCCAGAGCTTCGCTGAAGATTCCAACTCGCTTCGTGAGGTCGCGAGCATCGTTTGGTTAAATTCAGCAGCGAGGCATCCATACTCCACCTTCAAACCCACTCACTGATGTCCTGTCTTTGCTCCGTGCCACAGGTTGTGGATCACCTTCTTCCTCCCGTAGAGGCCAAGGGAAACTAACCCACCCACCGCTGACCAAACTGCATGTACGGAGTAAAAAAACCAAATAACTACGGAGTACCTAACCCGAGAACAAAAATTGCATAAATTCAAACGCCATTCCTTGGTCAGTTCAGCCGGCCCGGCATTCGTTGATTTTTTGTCACGCTATCCCAACGCCTCGCAGGCTGCATGCGGCTCTTTGAGCCCCCGTGGACTGCCCTCGAGATTGAACCAAGCGATGGACGGGGCTGGACTTCCTGGCCTGTTCGGGCCCTTTGCTGGCGCCATGCTGGAGCCCCGCTGCCAGTAGGAATCCGCCCTTCATCGGGCTTCCGAGTGTGGCTGGATGAGTGGGCCAGCTCTTGCTGCGCTGTGTGGTCAAATAACTGATGCAAGCGCAGCTTATCAGCCACAATTTTTGTTTTACAGATCTCGGTGGTGATGAGTTTGATGACGATGATCGAGCATGATTACCGAGACATCGTCACCAACAACTTGATTGCAAGCTTACTATTTTTACTGCTTTTATGGTTGTGGCTGAGTTGCACACTTATCTCTAAACGTATCATGATATTGGGGTTGCAAAGTGAGGAACCCGAGATAATCGTCATTCCTATATCACCATTTGTGACACTGAATACAGATGTAGAGTATACGCCGTAGGCAACTTTGGGTGCAGGAACAGATATATATTTTTAATACCAGTCTCATTGCTTCCGTTTCAGAGGGCCTTACAGATCAGTCTTGGAGATGTAAGGACTCTTTCCATCTGCTTGGCCAGCACTGTAATAACTTCATCGCCAGTACGGAGTAGGTACATCTTCGAATCATGCATATAACGTTTACATATCATCTTGAGGAATAGGTGGGCTACCTTGAGGATTGGTCCTTTTTGCGTAGTGGTAAAGCCTCCCACAAGATTGCATGTCTTACAAATAGAATTTCATCTCTCATAATGTAACTTTCTCCTTCGTGGAGGGTTGTTAAAGGTACAGTGCCTCGCAATAAGTTTGAAACTATTCAGAAGTAGATTAATTTGTAGTAATTAGTTGTAGTTATAGTGCCTCGCAATAAGTTTGAAACTATTCAGAAGTAGATTAATTTGTAGTAATTAGTTGTAGTTATAGTGCCATATGATATTCAAATGCATCCATTTACCCGTATTTTTCCACTCATCTACGGAGTACTCCGTACACCGTTCTCTATTCTCTCATTCATTCTTTCTATCCTCTTCCTTACATGTTTTCTTATCGAGTGGAAATCTTTGATTTCCAGATGTAATTCAATTAATTTGAGCTAGTTCTGCAATAAACAGTGCAACTACTAAACTACTTTGAAGTAGTGGATTTTGATGAGAAGTCACAATAGTTTCAAACTTATTGCGAGGCACTGTAGAAACATGTTGGCCCTAGGCTGCCTATCACGGACTAGCGCACCGCACATAGTTATATGCCTCAGCTGCCGACATGCTAATACAACGACTTAGAAGTCCCACAAAACAGACCCTACATTGTGGTGATCTTACCTAGCAGAAGAGAACAGCAGTTCCTTCCTTCCGTGTAGTGGGTCCTTTCTTCTTGGCGAATCCTTCGAGCTGTATATCCTTACAACCTCTTTCCTTATGAGGCCCTGTTCTCCTTCCTTCTGAGGTCTTGCTTATTGTTTTGTTTGTTTTTTTTTTTCCCTTTTCTGTCTCTTTAAGAAGAAGGATTCCCTTATTTTTCTTTTTCTTTTGTTTTTAGGAAGAAGATAGCGGTAACTAGTATCAAAAAGCTAGCCATAAGATTGTTCAATTTTGCCCTTAATCCTTAACTATTCCATCCTAAGCTAATCCTTAAGACTTGCGAAGCCTGGAGGGCTTACGTAAAGATCCCTTACAGAGCCGTGAGGTGTGGGATGGTTGATCTTCTCATTGTGCGATCGCTAGCTAACTATATATAGGGGTAATCACGTGCGGTGGAGGGCCGCCTGGGCAACTAGTGCCCAACACCCCCCCACGCGCCAACGTGCGTGATGTGTTCCTACGAATCTTCCATGCTAGCTATCTCAACTTGGATCATCCCAAAATCATGCTACATACAGAAATTTAATCATTCTCACTGTTACCAGCGAAAAGTCCTAGTAAATCAATGAAACGCCTAAATGCCACTGTGCCCAGAGGTTTGGTTAATCCGTCTGCTACCATATCCTCAGTGGGAACGTGTTTAATAGAAATAACGCCTTCGTTCAATTGCGTGCGAGAATAGTGGAAGCGAGTGTCGATATGCTTGCTGCGTGCCGTGATCGCGGCAACGGTAGCTAGGTCGATTGAACCTTTGTTATCTGCCCTGATAGGCAAGGGGTCCTTTGCTGTAACGAATCCTAGTTCCATCATCATATTGCGCAACCACGTTGCTTCGCGTACTGCTTCGCTAAGTGCCACGTATTCTGCCTCATTTGAACTTAAAGAAACACAAGGTTGTTTGGACGAACGCCATGAAATTGGTGCACCTGCTAACTTGAATATGAAGCCTGAAGTAGATTTGCGTTCGCCGTTCAACGGTCCTGCCCAATCCGAATCTGTATAACCTATCGGCAGATATGACGCGTTGGGGAATTCATCGATCTCGTTCTTGGGGCCTTCGTATAAGATGCCAAGGTCGCTCGTTCCTTTTAGATATTGTATTACGCGGAGGAGAGCCCTCCACGCCTTAGGTGTAGGCGCAGTATTCTTCTGCGCTAGTAGGGATGCTGCTCGCGCAATATCTGGGCGTAATTTGACTGCCAGATACTGCAAGCACCCTACTCCGTGTTGGTATCGCTTTTTGGTGAACCCTCCTTCTCGTTCTGACACAGGGGTATCGTCTATCTTCAACCCTTCAAGTATTGGCGTAGGGACAGGGACGGCGTCATCTAGGCGGAAATCTTGCACTAAACGATCGATATAGCGTCTCAATGTCAATTTTATAGCACCATCAGGGCGACGTTCAACCTCCATGCCTAAGTATTTTGAAGGTTCTTTTAAATCCTTTATTTCTAATTTATTGGCGAGGGTGTCAACTAGCCAATCGGCATCTGCCGGATCCTCTGCTATAATATGAAGGTCGTCCACGTAGATTGTCATATAAAGGTGATTGCGGGACGTGTGGCGCCATAGAGCAGGGTCGTAGGGGCTAGGTTTGAAGCCATTCTCGCGGAGTAATGCCGTAAGGAAATCGTACCAAATCTTAGCAGCAGGGTCCAATCCGTATAGGGAGCCTCCGACAGCGCAAACCATCGCGTGTGGAGTCCCCACCTCAAATCCGGTAGGTTGCCGCATATAAATCGTTTTACCAAGTCGGCCGTGTAGGTAGGCCATCACTATATCGACCTGGCGCAAGGTCCAACCTCGCTTCGCTGCTATCGCGAACATCATGCGATTAGTAGCGTCATTAACGACGGGCGCGTATGTTTCTTCGCGTGCGCTTTTCTTTAACCAATTACCGCACACTACCCATCGAGATTTTCGTAATATACCATCAGGATCCGCGTTGGGATCCTGGGGGCGATCTTTTTCGACATAAACCCAGCGGCCGGGGGCCACTGGCTCACCAGAAGGGACGTCAGAACGTGGGATCATTGTCCAAGTGTTCCTTCGTTCCAAATCTGCAATCTCGCGTTCCATCGATTTCTGCCAATATTCGCCAACCCCCCCAGGTCTACCAACGGCATCCTTATATCCTTTCGGAACGGAACCGGTGAGGGGAGAAGGAACGTAGGTGGCGAACGCTTTCGCTGGTCTTACCCATTCGGCGTCAGCTAATTCAGGAACGGTAGTATCATCAACAAGATAAGTCGCTGGACTTGCAGGTTCGGGTGTCGTGTGGTTAGTGTCATCCTGCGAGGTTGTAGGTTCCTTTGCAGGGAAAACGACATCACTGGTGACAATTATTTTATCAGTTGTAGGACTCCAGAGGCGGTAGATTGAGTTACCACGGAATCCTATAAGTTTAAAAATTTCTGCCCTAGCGGACAGCTTGTCAGTAGGTTTTTGAGATCCATGAAGGTGCGCGTAAACATCAACACCTAGCTCCCTAAAATGGCGAAGTTGGGGCGGGGCGTTGGTTAGTGCTGAGAATGGGACCGTATAGGGGCATCGCGCAGGTGCTTCGTCGGCGTTGTTGGTAGGCCAGTATTTCTCATTATACAGGGTGGTAGATGTTGGTGTGTTGTTGGTAATTGCAACCACCGTTTCGAGAACGTCTGCCCAGAACTTCTTCGGTATATTCATGCCTAAAAGCACTGCCCTTGCGCGTGTCATTATCGTACGGATTCCTCTCTCAGAAACACCATCTTGGTGGGGAGACTGGGGCGTAGTAGGTTCCCAGATAGTGCCATCTTTGGTCATCATTGTTGTCATCTTGTTATATCGAAAGACACCATCGATATCAGTCCTAACTAGCGCCGGTGGCGTGAAGCCGAGATTTTTCATGAATTGGACCCAGTGAGCGTAAATTTCGACAGCTTGGTCCTTGGTATGTAAAAAATAGATCCACCTGTAGCGGGTGGCGTCATCGGTGATGAGCATATAATATTTGGTCCCTTGACGAGATTCGATAGGGTAATCGGACATATCATCCAGCGTACGACCACCGCCAGCAAGGTCGATATGAACACGTTGCATTGCTCGCAACGCTCGTGGCATGGGAGTTTGCGAGAACTTGCGTGTCATGCCTGCTTTGACGCAGCTATCGCAGAAGAAGCCTGTTTTAGATCCTTTGATGCGGATGCCGGATGATGGGTCCTTCGCTAGTGCAATGATCGCGCCAGCGTGGATATGCCCTAGTGTGACGTGCCATTCCATGAGTGTTCTTGTCAGGGGGTTGCGATCGCTAGGTTGATCGTTAGGTTTCCCCGCGATTGTCGACATTGCGTCCCCGTAATTGTAAGATTTGGCCATAAAATGGACGGCCTGGGACGGGTGATGGACGTCTATTTGAGATTCTCGTTCTATTATCTTGTAGACCGATTCTTTGGACGTGCGAACAGCGGTGAAGTTGGCACCGTTCGGGGCCCTTATTGTAAAATAGGAAGGGGTGGTATCTGATAGTTGGTATCTGAAGCCTTGATCTTCTAGCTTCGCAAAGGATAGAAGGTTGACTGTTAGATTGGGGATCCAGTGGACGTAACCCACTGAGATATCCCCCCCTTCTGATTCTAGAAGGATATCACCTATCTCCTCAACCCGTCCTACGCCACCGTCCGCGGTAGTAATTTCTAAATCACCTTCGAACGACTTTGCGCGCACCAACGAGTGCCTTTCACCCGTC